ATTGTAATCATTAAAGATGCATTATGTAAGAGCTAAATCTGCAGGTCCTTTTTTGCGGGGGGGGGGGGGGTCTTCAAAAGTCTCGATTGTCAGATGCCGTTCCTACGATAATAAACAATCTACGCTACATTTTGTCAAAACTTCAACCACTCATAACTTCGAACAGCATAAAATAATTTGAAGTTTTTTTTAATATACATTTTTCTTATCTATCTTTGAACTGTTATAACAAAACCGGTCAGCTCTTTATCTAAATCTTTTATAATGTATCTTTAACAAATAATCTTTATGTTTCGTTATCCTAATAACCGAAGTGTATATTATACAAAATAACAAATTTGTGCACATAGACTATGCTTTATATAAACAACCATGGCATTTCATTGCAAAATAATACAACATGATAACAAGTCAAACGTAGGACAACTAACGCCTTACTTAACCCTAAAATCAACACATAACACTGATTAATAACTTAAACATTTATCTGTTTACAAAACATGAACAATCAAATTACTTATCACTCTGCATAACAGGTGCAGAAAATGTTCCTTATTTCAAATTGAGAGTAGAAAAGAGTCATCATTGAACTTTAAAACAGTCAAAGCACTGATGGAATAAAACTATGCGCAAAGTTTCATCACAGGCAACCAATTTAATTAAAAGTTGTCGTGTTCTAAAGACTACTGTATCATCATCTGTATCCCCAGTGGTATTGTTCCGTTCTACTCAACTTAGGCCTGGGTCCATTCATGGGGGAAGACACATAGTCAAATTATCCGCCCTTGATACTATTGTGCTATTTTTATTGACTTTTATAAAGTGCATAATAATATGCATTCTTCTTGTGACGTCACATCACATGGAGTCGATTTATTGGCTTGACAGCTAGTGCACTGTTTATACAACGAGAAGTGGTTCGGGCAGAAGGGTGCCTTTTAATCATTTTATATACTCAGTTACACTAAATAGGACATATCTCCTATCCAGATATACTTCAAACACCTTTATTTATTTTTCTGTTACTTCAAGAAAATGTTCTAGAATTAAATTTTCATAAGAAAAAAAGTTAATATTGTGAGCTCATTAACCCGTACCGATGTCTTCCCTCTCAGTGATATTAGCGACCTAGTGAATATTCACTGCTGATCAGTGTGCTAAGATAGTCAAAATATTTTAGGTCATCGTTTTATGTGCATGTCATTTCTCTGACATTAAATTTCTCGAAAACACTTCTCATAATCTAGCGTACAGATGCTTTATTGTGGTGAACGTAAACAATGACGCTAAGACTGGCATGTAACCTGTTTTTTGATGCGTTCGTAGAATCTACCTACGATCAAGGGCAGAATTTGAATTCGTGATAATCCCGTGAAAGACCCCAGGGGTTAGTGGAGTAGAACGGAACTACTGGCAATACCGAGGATACGTCATGATATACGTGATGTGATTTTGTAAAAGAAAATATTAGAGACAAGCAGATCCTGTACAAGGTTTGTTTTTTCACAACCATCATGCAGATTTCTTTAATGCTGTGACCGACGTTTGTGACATATACCTATTTTAGTTTTGCAGTAAACCAGTAAATTATTCTTTCCTTTTTTTTTCAATTAAAAAAATGTCACGTTAATTAATATATAAACGTGTTATAATATAACAGAAGCAGACAGGCACAGCCGTTATATTGTTTGAAAAAGACAAAAAAAAAAAAAAAAAATCAACTAGAATCTTGACCAATATCATTCAAGAAGCGTGAAGCAATGTTTACGAGCATTATCGGGCCATTTATTAGTAGATAATGTTCGCTATCCATTGTTTCAGGTGGTAAGTAATCATTGGCAGTGGTACTTAAGGTTATATATATATATATATATTTTTAAATACTTCCCCGTCGGATATTACATTATAGTATGATTGTTGTTTTACTTATATAAGTTGAAAGACATATATATATATATATTTTTTAAATATTTCCCCGTCGGATATTGCATTATATACTAAACAACAAAAAAAAACGTCAGTACGATTTCAAACTCAAGACAGGCACTTTAATTAAATCATTCTAGAAAATGACTTTTTGTGAACAGTATGTTGACACATTAGTGATTAATTCATCACAATTCCTAGACATTACGAGAGGTTAAGAGTCTGTACAGTCTATACATCACTATCTGGTGTGTCCACCGCGAGGCGAGTGTCAATAACAGCAGCGCAGCGTCTGTACATGGTGTGGACCAGACGATTGATGAATGCAATTGGCACCTGGAACCACACTCTCGGAAAAGACTGGCACAATCCAACGGCTGTCTCGGTACGACGTTATTAAGTCTCCTCTGAATTTCATCCCAAAGATCTTCAATCGGGTTTAACCGGACAAAGGGCTGGCCAGTGCATAACGTTGAACCGTTCTACGGTTCTGCTGTAGAAATTTAGAAAGTCCCGAGTAACTCTGGCGGTGTGGACACGGGCGTTGTCATGCTGGAAAACGTTGTTTCGATGACGTGCGAAGCTTGATCGATGTAGCGCACTGCTGTGATGCCGCCTCCTCTCCCGGACCAAGATTTTGTAACACCACAGGACCCACTCCCTGCAGGTTCAGACCGATTCCAACCCAAACCATTATACTTGGACCTCCCCATGAGTCTCTTTCCATGACACATTGGTCAGAATAACACTGGCCACGTCGACGCCATATTCTGGTCCTGCCATCTGCAGTTGATACGCAATACCGACTCTCATCTGTGAACAGAACAGTTCTCCATTGCCCGTGTCGCCAGTTCTGGTGTTGTTTGGCAAACTGTAGACGTTCATGTCGATGGCGAGGGGTGAGGATCGGTCCACGGTAAGGTCTACTGCAATGGATGTTTTCGTGAGAGGTCGGCGCACTGTATCGGTACTGTCTGACGTGCTGTCTCAGATGCCTGTGTGAAGGGATTCTGCACCTGCTGTCGCACAACATGGCGGTCTTGTCGCCTTGAGGTAACCCTTTGTCTACCAGTTCGGGGCGATCATCCGTGGTGTTGGTGGCCCGAAAGCGTTGCTGGAGCCTGTAGATAGTCCGAACATTGACTTGGAAGTGATTAGCAATGGCCTGGGCACTGTGGCCTGCGTCGAGTCTTCCACTCGCCTGGTTCTTCTGAGCTGTCGTGAGTCGTGGCATGCTGCTGACGTTGTAGTGTGAATGATTCAACCAGGTATGGCGGTGCATTTTATAGGGCTGGCCCCGGTGAACAGCACGTGCAACATGAGTTACATGAAAATCATGGAGAACACATTACCATCTCAATTCTGTGTTTGGGAAGGAGCCTTATTACCAAATATACAATAAAAACATTTGGCAAGTTTTAAGCAATGCGTCTATTCAGAGTAACATACCAACCTGACGTTTCTTTTGGTGCTTAGTATATCATGCTTTTTGTTCTACTTATAAGTTGAAAGACATGTGTTATACAGATTGTTATCTTGACAAATTATAATTTTTATAAATTATAAAACACAGGTTCAAGTGTGTCTCTTAGTACATGTATACCAAATATATGTGATTATTATTAGAGTTGAAAGATGCGTTTTATTACAACTGATTACAACAATTCATTAAGTTGAATGCTGTGCGATGTGGTGTTTATTTCAATATGATGCATGTGGATAGTTCCATCATTATCAAGCTGAACGATGTAATGATTATTACAATTAGATAGTTTCATCATTATCAAGCTGAACGTTGTTATGATAATTGTAACTGATGCACGTGGATAGTTTCATCATTATCAAATTAAACGATGTAATGTTTATTACAACTGATACACGTGGATAGTTTCATTATTATAAAGTTAAACGATGTAATGTTTATTACAACTGATGCGTGTGGATAGTTTCATCATCATCAAGTTGAACGATGTAATGATTATTACTGATACAAGTGGATAGTTTCATCATTATAAAGTTAAACGCTGTAATGTTTATTACAACTGATACATGTGGATAGTTTCATCATTATCAAGCTGAACGATATATTACAACTGATACGAGAGAGAGAGAGGGGGTGTTGAGTCCACTCCATACAAACTAGGTCATTTTGGGACTAACATATGGTTCAATTTTATTCCAATAATTCGCTTGCGTGGGAGGGAACCGGATGACCCGGAGAAAACCCACGGGGTTGGACAGGCGACCCTACTCCTTGTCACGTACAACTGGGGAATCGAAACCACACCGGTTGACTCAATGACAGACCTCACTATACAGCGCGCAGCGCTAACCATTCGGCCATCCAACCCCCCTACAACTGATACATGTGGAGAGAATATTTCGCATCATGCTGGACGATCTGAAACTTGGCGTCCAGGTGAACCTTGCAATGTTTTTCATAACACTCGGAAATGAAATGACAAATATAAAGTGAACTGAAATGAATGAAAAACCGCATTTGTTCGAGGAAAAAAATTAATAAAACTAATTTTATAATATTACATTTTTTTTAAAAAAGGAGTATATATAATATTTATTACTGGTGCATGTAGAATGTATTGAAAGTCCTGCTAACCCGTAAGCGAAAAGCAACGTTTACATTTTGCTTCATAATAATGCTTAAACGATGTGAGTGTAAGCAGATGGATATAGTTTCTTTTATTTGGCACATTAAAATTAGATATTATAATAATTTTTTTTTTAACAAAAAAACCCCTCAAAAACAAAAGAAACGAAAAATAAACCTTGTATAGACAGGACATACAGGCAATATATCTTCCGGGGTATCAAGACTGTTGACAAATTCAAATCTATGCGCCTATGTGATTATTACATAATTACATGAATGCATGCTAGAGTTGAACGATGCGTGTTTATTACAACTGATGCATGTGGACTGTGAAAAAAATATTTTTCCCAGGACGCCACTGTGACCTTTTGACAGGACGTCATGGCTGAAGGAAAAGAAGTCTGGAAAAATAATAATACTCCATGATTATTACATGTGTGCTGACCATTCAACAACTTAGGAATTGAAAGATGTAATGTTTATTACAACTGATACATGTGGATAGTTTCACAGACTCTAGTTCATCTCTAGTAAGACCATAACTATGTGATTATTACTATTAAACATAATTACGTACCAGTAATCAGTACTATAGAATTGAACGATGCGTGTTTATTACAAGTGAGGCATGTGGATTGGAATTTTAAAAAAAATATATCTTTGCCGGGACTTCGCTAGTTGTAGATGCCCACGTTATTGACCTCAACGTTGTGTAATTGTTATTATTTATAAAAGTGGATTTGATTCATTGAAAGTTTACACTAAACCCTCATGGTACACAGGCAACTGAGTTCATCAACTGAATACTTTAGTTAGTTTTGGTATTTAAAATGCAGATTTTGATGTACCCTTGAATTCTGTTCAATTCTGGTTGGGTAGTAGATTAGCCTGTCCCGTCAAACTGACTTAAAGATCTCTTTAAACTGTTCCGGTGATCGATGCCATTCTAGTTACCTGGTCCAGTTTCATAATTACCACGTACATAATGTTATCCCCAATTCTGAAATTAAACATAACACAATAAATGGAATAAAATAATGAAGTTTAAAGGAGCTTGGATATATACGCCCACACATCAGCAATGTCTTGACAGCAGCTTTTCTGAAAGAAAAACTTGGATTTTGATCAAATCAAAAGCTGGGATAACTCTGGAGTGAAAGCCACATAATGCCGAATATCAATAGTGTCTGTCCTTTCATGGTGGCAATGCTTCACATCACATTTGAATAGAATATGTTATCAATTGTAGCCCCTATCGCGTTCATAAGGTGTTTGGCAAAGAGGAAATAACTCCCGTGTCTTGACCACAATGCTTCACACCAAATTTGAAAAGAATCCGTTAAACACTATAATAGCCTCAATTGCGTTCAAAAATGAAATGAAATGAAATGGGGTTTAACGTCCTACTGTTCTGCCCCTATACTGGAGGTCGGGCGTTCGATCCCTACATTGGCCGAGAAAGTTCATCCAGATTTTCCAGCGCTGTTTCCCATTGTCGGTGATGCAGGACGGCGGGCCTGACAAGGACATCTGTCTAGTCGTTCGGATGGGACAAAAAAAAACGAGGTCCCGTGTACATATTGACGTGCATGTAAAAGATCCCTTGGCAGTTGGAATTCGATATAAGAGTAGGCCGTAGTGCCACTGCCGGGGCAAAATTTCCCTCATAGCACACTGTATGGTGCATGCCCGTCTCCGTTAGCCCAGTTTAGGCACACTGATCCGCAGTGAATATTTGCTTGGCCGCGACAATCACTGATAAGGATGACATTGATGCGGCTTAATGAGCTAGAAATATTAACTTTTTTCCTGCGACAAATTAAATTCTAAAATGTTTTTCACCCCATGGCAAAAAAATAGTCGGTCTCAAAAAAAAATGCTCACCGCAGTCGGTCTCAGACTAAATGAATTAATGGGGTGTTTTCTGACCATTAGAATTCTGCAAAATCTCTCCCCAAAGTCCAGGGCATTTCAAAGACCAAGTAAGCGCCCCATTGAGGTAAAGTGCCCTCAGGCCCAGTCCTCAAAAATTAAAAGCTCAGTTACATATCGGCGCTCAATTCCATTATGCCACCATTCTTCAACTTCTTCTCTGTCTTATACTATCTCATCACTATCATATTCACAGTTACAGTTAGTAGTACCACTAGTGAGTGAGTCGTGGTTCAAAAGACTGCAGAATTGTTAGTTCTACTCTCACAAAACAGGCGACATTGACAGATAGGCCTCAAGATTCTGTCCCATTTCTTATCCTCTCGTTAACGAGAATTTGGATCCATTTGCCATGACATTGAATAAAATTGTCAGGCCCAGTCCCAAAAATTAAAAAGTCGGTTACACATCTGAATTTTTTTCGCGCCTGCGGCGCTCGATTCCATTATAACATCATTCGTCCACTTCTCTGTTCTCTTATCCTGTCTCAGCACTATCATATTCACGGTTATACTGATCTGCCTAGTTATGTTAGTAGTACCACTGGCACTGGTGTGTGGGTCGTTGGGCGTCAGGCTATACAAAAGTTCTGTCAATTCTTGCAAAACAGGCGGAATTGATAGGGGCAGATCTCGAGATTTTGTCTAATTGACTCACATTTCTGGTCATCTCGTCCACAAGAATTTCTCCAAGCAATGACCTCAAATGCCAAGATATTTACTCAATATTTCAAAATTTTCTCAGGTTGCTCAGTGTTATAGGCACAATCATATATGACATAAACTTTATGTTAACTTAAAAACTGCTTTCCAGCGAGACAACGATCGGCAATCAACTATATAATTATACAATACCATCTATGTTCTACCGGAACGCTTAATGTTATAGCCAGTATTATGTTGACATTCATTGTGGGGTGGGATTGTGGCTGGGGTGGCGCCCTAGATTTGGACCCCCCCCCCCCCGACCCCTATCTAGATCCGCTACTGCACATGGCCCATACAAAACTCGCACCTGTGGTGCTCTGCCCCTGACTGCGTCACTCGTACTAGGGGTATGGGCATCAGTCGGTCGCATTTTGGCTAAACACCCCCCCCCCCCCAAACAAAATCGTTATGTACGCCCCTGGTGACTTCAGTATCACTAGTTGTACTGAATCCACCTCAAACGGTAGTCCAACTACAAATTATGATATAAATAAAACCTCTAAAAGTATAAATGATTTTAGAGGAGAAGAGAAAGGTGTTAAAGCAGCTAAACATTCTATTCAATACTATATATAATATTCGAAATTAAAAACACGAATTCAATATTGGTCCATTTTCATCAATATCAGTGTAGTTATAACACCGTGAAAATGTGTGATCCTACAATAGTTAAGACACAGTGACCATTTAAAAATCGGTACACGACTCGTGTACTCTATGGACATAATAGTTTCGAGCGCCATCTGTAATAAATAAAGAAAACCCTATTCCAGAAGAGAATGCAGAAGCAATTAAAAACGGCAGATTCAAACACGACAAAATAATAATATTAAAAAAAAACGTCTGGACTAAGCCACTAAGCCAATGATTCTCAACCAGTCTGCCGCGATATCTTCCTAAGTGTGCCGCGAAATTTTGGATGACACACTTAGAAAATTCCTCACTAAAGAAGCTATTTAACTGATGAAATTCGAATGACTGCAATAAATTAAGTTCATAGCTGTGTTTTTTATTATTTAGTTTGAGTCATTCTATGTGTCTATGACAAGTCTGACGGTTGTATGCCATGTTTTTATTTTGCAAAATTCAAATATTTTTCATATAGTTAGCCAGGTGTGCCGCTATTTTTTTCATGTGTTACAAGGTATGCCGTTGGCAAAAAAAGGTTGAGAACCACTGCACTAAGCAGTCGCAAACGACTGTCGTTCAATTTGGACAGTTAGCGTAATTCACTAAAGGAGTTACTGTCCGATATGCGCCTGTATCGACAGGAACCGGGATCTTTGGGATATAGACCTATATTTCAAGATTCGGCAAAATCGGATAAAAATTGTGACCTGTAGGGTGGCCACAAACAAATTGTGGACGTCCAGACGGCCAGAGGTGACAATAGTGTGCGTATAAAAATGTAAGGAAAGTGGTAATATAAAGTTAATTATATGTTTTTAAAAATTATAAACATAGGCACAATTATTGTGGGATATCTTTTTCAACTGTCACTGATCATTTTAAAAGGCGTTCTGTCTTTATTGTCCTGTATTGTTTTGGTTACGCAAATCAATATTTTTATGGCCACCTTTTCGAATGTTGCCTGCTTAACACAGCCCACACCCTCACCCACAACAAATAGTCTAAATAGTAATACCGGTAGTCTAATCACATCTACTATGTAAGGGGTTATCTCATATCGGTATATTTATTACTGATACACGACCGTGACCATAATCCATGAACAATTTTCGCGTTAATCTAACTCTACTATGATAATAATACAGTGGCCTATATATTTACCTGTGCTAATGAGCGTTCATAGTTATGGCTGACAATGTTTTGGTAATCGCTATGGTGATGACGTCAGCAAATGGATTAGTGAAGACACAACAGCAAATGCGAGATAATTTTATGGATAGACCATAATTAATAGTGGTAATTCGTTGACAGATATATATATATATACATATAGATACAGTAAAACTATTCTAATAATTGTACAATATAAACGGTGCGGACCGTGTGTTTCAAGAGAGGTTTGTTTATTTTTTAATTGTTTTCTAATTTGATCCATCCAAATATAGCTTATAATCTACTTCTACTAGTCGTTCATCGATTCTACCAGGTCTGATTATAATTAATTAAGTGATTTTTTTTATTTATCTGTGTATATATAGATCTATAGTTTTATGTCATTTTCCTGTTTTATAATGGCGTGCTTGTTAGTGGCCTTCTGCACAATTTTTAATCCCTTGGCCTTGATTTCCACTTTGTAGGCTATAATTTATATGTTACAATGTTAGCCAATAATATAGACTATTTTTAAATTTGTTGGTGTCCTATAACCTCACTAATCCGACCCGCGTGACTCCAGGACAACGGTATTCATAAGCAATCAACCATGGGTCTATTTTAGGTATGCACCTTTCCTGAAGTCTTACCTTACACGTAATTTCAAGAGTTGTATAGTCTAAGTACATGTGTCTTACGGGTGCTTTGTGTAACGAGGTCATGAACTTTAATCATTATTCACTGCACGTGCAGACATATCCTAACGTGCGACCGACAAGAATAAGTATAAGTGGAATCAGATGTTCGGTGACTTGTACTAATCAATTTTATAAAGTTTTGTTTTCAAACAAAAAAAGCCAAGGGCAACATGTATATATTATGTAGGTCTATTGATCCAGCATTTCGCAATAACACTAGAAGTTAATATATTCTGTGATAAAGTGTTGTAAAAATTCAGCTTTGTTAAATGTAATTGTCATAGTATTTCGCAATACCATTTGAATAAGCACGGGAACAATTTGTTGTCATAACACAGTTTATAAAAATATATCTAAATTCACTAGATGTACGAGTATATTAACGTCTCGTCATGGAGATTATTTTATCATGAAAAAAGGAAATGTTTGATGGTGGTATTATCGTCATTTGGTTTTGTAGTATAACTAGTCTTGGATTCAACCAGGAATGTAACTCAAGTATAACGCTAAGTGCCATTTTTTGGTTTGGTTCCAGGTTTGCCTGTCAAAATTAAATGCTATGTTAAAATATCTTTCCTTGTGACTAAATGTAAGAAATAAACTAAACATATTAATATCAATGATGTTAAATTAAAAATGCATCTAGTGACAAAACGAAATGTCAAAAGTCAAATATAAAATTTGTCTAATGGTAATTGCCTAACACTTTCTTTTCTTTCTTTTCTGTAACATATAAATACCCTATAACAGTATTCAACTTGCCATGGCTCTTTTATAGATTGATATGTTTATTTATTTCACGCTTTGCTTTTTATCATCACCATGCAGGAGCTAAACCTCTTGGATTCAGGTTGAAAAGAAAGTATTGTGTTGGATTTCGATCTGATGTGCTATTTCAGTTTGTGATGAGACAAGCCCAATAATGTTTTGTTTTGAAAGATTAAGCAGACGTCGTCCTGTTTTCAAAAAGTTCCACCTTCTTTGTCTTTCTTAATATCAGTGGAACACAAAATCGATTATGTATTAACACTAGCTTTACCTATTATTGACACAAAAGTTTGAATAAAGAGATTTTTGTCCCACAGAACTAATCAATTTAATTTCCATGAAGCTCATATTTTAAAATTTGACCCAATCAAAGAGAGGTCTCGTCACTTCAAACCATCTTTCAATTTTTTGCTGGTTTACACGTGCTTTACAGATAGCAGATTGGTATGGGTGTCTGTGCTTCTCAACAAAGCACTGCTACGTCACCAAAGTATGGCCAGGCGTACCCCAAAGCAACCTATCCACAGCAGCAGACACAACCACAGCACCCACCACAACCACAGCCACAGCCGCAACCACAGCACCAACAGCATACCACTCATAATCAATCACAGGTTTTGAATAATATATTTACTAATAACCTTACTTTTCGATCACCTTTCTTGAATATGTGATCGTACGGTCCATTTTTTAAAAAAAAAAAAAAATAATATCCTAACTGCAAATCTTTTATGCGTTTTTTAAAGTTTTGATTTGGATACTTAAACCAATCTAACAGTGTGATGTTGAGTGTGCTATTTTTAAAAATCATTTTTGCTTTGCTTCCAATTATGTTGCACTGCATTTTATTTAATAAGCTGTGCTGTTTCAACAGTCATGGTGTATTATTTTTTAAAATGCAAGATGTCTGGCATATTATGATAAAATACTGTTAATATCTTGAAGGTTAACCAAAGAACACAGCCAACAGCACCGCCATTAGAAGAAAGAACACCACCTGAAGGCCAAAACGCACAAAGTCGACCACAACAAGATCCAAATATGGAGGTAAGTACAGTAGTCTACATGAGGTAATGGTTTCCACTGCATGAAATACCACTTTCTCATGTTCTAGAAACACTGATGATTGATATAACGGATGTACAACCCTTGGGTTTGTTACTGGCTGCAGCAAAATAATATCTTTGACCATGGTATAAGACAACCAGTCAGATGTCTGGATAATCCAAGCCTTTCAAATGTTTACGTGGTATATTCTGCATTACGTGCCGTATTGAATGGTGGGATAAATTGAAGTCTACCAATTATAATCTTCACATACACAGCCAACAACAAATATAACGAAACGAAATATTAGTAGGATTTTAATTAGACTGTTTCTTATCATTGGCAATTAGGGGTGTCGTGCTTTTTCAGATTTTTTTTCCGATGTGAGGGGTTTCCGATGATTTGAAATCATTAATGCCTTCCTTGTCCTATGTAGATTGGGACCAATGTTATGTCCTAAATTAACCTACTCAGTGGATATTTTATGTCTTTTATTCCTTAACTTACAGAAACATTCACCGGAAGCAACGTTAAATATGTTGAAGAGATATATAGAATTAGAAGGCACCATACGACCATTAGAAAGTAAAAATGTTATTGGTACGTTTGCTATTAAGAAAGAAGGTGTGTCTGATATTGACAAATCATTAACACAAATTGAAGGACATTATAAAGCTGCCTGTGATAAAGTGTAAGTTTAATGAAGATATTAACACATTTTGTACACCAACGAATAACCACTGGTCTATTATTATCCCCTGATATAGGATCCGACCTGACTTAGTGAGTAAGGTACTGGCTAGCTAACCTGAGGTCCAGGGTTCGATCCCGTTATTGACCGATACATTTCATCGTGATTTTCCTTTTCGTCGTTTGGATGGACAAATGTCGGGGCCCTGTGTACATGTTGACATTCACGTAAAAAAAAAATTATCATCAGTTGGAATTCGAAATAAGAGTAGGTCGTAACGCCGTGGTCCCGTCAAAATTTCCCTCATAGCCCACTGTGTGGCGAATGTCCGTCTTTATTAGCTCCAATGTTCCAAAAAAGTATGCCGTTAAACCCCATTTCATTTCACCTGATAATGCAGGCAACCTTTGTAGCTAAATATATTTTCAAATGCACTCCTTTTTTAGTCTTTGAATTACCGCTATGTAGATTCGTTTAAATAGCTCATGGTATGGTCGAACGCTTAAATTAACACCAACATGAGGTTGATGAAATACTCGGTGTGGTGCGCACTGTGTGTTTGGCCCGCCAGATTGCCACCGACGAGAAATCGGAATGTCGGCGACAACTAATTCATGGTTTGAGCATATCTTTATTCATCTAATGTTTATAATCTACTCATTACACTCTGCTATTTATATTAATTGGCAGTAATTGAATTCTGATTGCTCCGCGAAATATAAAATTGCATGCCGTAAGTTTTCATGAACTCAGTGACTCTCCTCACGCCAATTAATAATCTTTGCTACAGTGCCAAAGAAAAGGCTGATGTGGATAATATGCAAGCACCAAGTACTAAAGCTTTCTTCAAGGACCAGACCTCCTTTGATGCCAAACTGTCAAAAGAACAGGTAAAATATTTTCCATTCGAGGATATTGATAACCAAGATCTTCCTAATAAAAGTAGATGCATATCTTAGTAAAGATGTATACATCCATCTGAATTCAAAATGACCTATTGTTATATCACATAATAGAAGAACAGCTGAACGTATAGTTAAAGTTATTATAACATGAACAGCACGAAATCAAGCATACATGTCAGCTGTCTGCATGTTTAATCAATATCCAATACTGGCATTTTAGAATGAAATTACCAAAACTTATTTTCTTCCAGAACATTTGGTATCATCGATAATAAATTATAAATTGCATATGATCTATCGATTAACCTAACTTATAAACCTATAATGGTAAATCTCTTTGATCTTTGGGGTATATTCTATGCCCGGAATAACTTAATAACTTGCGGTCTGAATACATAGAGAGTAATTTTAGGTTATTCTTCTGGAAGTTTTTCTTAAACCTGTATCTGGTTATTCTTCCAGGGTAGGTTTTTTTCCCCATAAGAAAACATGATAATATAAGGTTTTTCTTACTGGAATACTGGGATATTCTCATTTTACGTACATGTAAACATAATAATATACGGTTTATAAGCAAGATAAAGTCCTCGACTTCGGTTATACTGGGGAAGAAAGATTTCAGAAAAAAACATCGATCGAAAAACCTCGTCCTACCGGCCTCAGTTTTTCTTTTTCTTGGGTTATTTTTTTCAGTCGCTCTTTTCCCAGCATAACCTCAGTCTCGTGCTTTATCCTACACAGAAAACACTATGGACCATAATCTGAAACAAAGACAATTCTATATGGTGACAAATCATAAATATGGACTAATAAATAATTCGTCTAGACACCCCGCAATAGGGTAAATACAGTATAGGTTATCTTGAACATAAAAGTACATAGCAAAGTGGGTTTTTTTTCTATAATCATGGCCTTTCATTGAAAAATGAAGAATGTTCGGAATTAGTTATAGGCATTTCACCAGACACAATTGTTTGAAATGACAGGTTTTTTTTATTCTTCTAACAGGAAGAATATCTAGAGGCTGTCAATGAACAAGAAGTTGTCAAGAATCAACTTGATTCAATGAAATCTCAGAAGGCAGCAATTCAAAAGGAAATTGACAGCTTGTCTAAAGAAGTGGATGAGCTGAATAAATACTACGAAGAACAAGACGATTTATTGGGTGAGTTTTACTAAACAGCGTTTTATCATTAGCACCAGACAATTTCTTTGAGGAATATAGCTATTATCCGGACATGTAACATTTAGGGCTATAAGCCCTCTGCAAATTTTCAGAATCTGCCTAGCCATCACTGAGATAGAAATGTACGTAAGTCTATTTAAAATATGATATTATTCAAAATTAATTACATTTAAACAAATTTAATATATTGCATTTATTTTCTGATTTCATGAAAACCAAGTTAACATTTAAAAATGTGGTAAAGATGCATTAGCAAGAGCTAAATCTGCCTATTGCAATATCTTTCGTTTGGCCGCAAATGTTAAATAAATCATTAATTAGACATTTTTTCACTATTTACATGCCAAGCCCATATTTAACTATCTAGAACATCGGATGGTTGTAATTTTCAACAGACTTAAACACGATCGCCAGTTGATACTTTAATTTTAAAAAATGTTTATTAACATAACAACGGTAAAAATGACATTCGAGGCTACACTATTCTTAAAACGGCCATAACTTCGCTCAGATGAATTGACTGAAATTCTCAAATATCCTTTTTTTACTGTCTATTTTTTAAATTATTATAGCGAGAACTTTTTATTGAAATGTTACATAATGCATCTTTAATTGGTGTGTAGAGATGCTTCTTGCAAATGACAATTTAAATTTGATGGACAATACAATCGTTTAGACAAAACCCGTCTTCTGTGTATACTTTCGATAGAATTCATGTCGTGCTTATCACAGCGTTGGTTCTAATGATTCGGTCATTGGGGATTTCTTTCTTTAGTTTTTCTTCATATAATGTAATTGTTTGGAATAACCAGACCACCATAATAGCATGTTACACCCAACATGCGGACTAGCAATTTGATTCAGTTACTTTGGATATTTTCTTTTATGTGTAAATTCTATGACCATCATCAGGAACCAAGAGCAGTTGCCCAGTTCGACAAACGTTATCTGTTAATTTTACTTAACTGCGCAGACATATTGGAAAAGTCGTTTTCTTTTTTTTGTGTCCGTATATAGACCTGCCGGTAGCAATAAGTGTCTGATGGCATGGTAATTCAATTCTTCGACGTATATAATATAATATTTATAATGTGTATTCACAATTTTCTGCGTTCCTACAGAAATCCTTTTGATGTCTGGTATTAAATTTTACTGTAAATAATGCACACTGTGGATAAAGCATGAATCACGTTTCCCGGAAATTCGTTAAGTCTGTAGCCTACTTGTCAGCAAATCTGTTTGTAATTGTTACTCTTATTCGGGTATGAAAGCAGTCGTCTGTTCAACAATTTGCATGCCTCGCTTGAGTCACAGGTTTGGTTTTGTTACCCATTTCTGATCACATTTACCTGCTTTCAAATGACACACGCACGTCTTGCCACCTTGAAGGGCCTCGTCCATAAGATGTTGACAGCATGCAGTCCTGGAATTTTATCACGGTTTTCAGTGAATTGGACGTTGACTCGTTAACCTGGAGGTCCCGTGTTCGATCACTGCTTATAGTCGTTCAGATGGGAAGAAAAACCGAGGTCCCATGTACACATTGGCGTGTACGTAAAAGAAAACTTGACAGTTGGAACTCGAAATAAGAGTAGGCCGTAGCGCCGCTTTTCGGGCAAAATTTCCCTCATTACACACTGCAGGATGACGTATGCCCGTCTTCATTGGTCCAGTAGGAGCAGAACAGTATAAAAAATAAGGACGTTAAACACCATTTCATTTCATTTATCACGATTTGATAACAAAAATACACCCGAACTTGTTAGCATGTGTACTTTTCAAATAAGGGGTCACATCAGGTGTTCTAGAGTAATCGTTTCCTGTCCACAGCACGACACCTGCCAGTCTGCCACCATTACTTCTCCGGGAAGATTATTTGAAACTCTCATTGTACCTGAAAAACATCAAATCTGGTTATGTTGGCATGTGGCGTAGTAGACACAATAATATGTCACTTGACAGATGCATGTACATTTATTATGGTTCAATTATTGTGGGAAGACATAACAATTATGTTGGAGAATGTTTACGAATGCATCTCATGGTATTGTGATTTGATATGTTATATTGCGCTATCATTAATAATTTAACCGCGCTCTTGCATAATAACTTTAAACCACGACAACTGATTGAACCTGCATTAGAAATGTGCTTTAGAACTAAATGAGTATTAGAAATCTGTGGGGGTGGTCAAATTACATTCTATTTTAGTGGACTCAATGATTGAATTATTTTACGCTATATCCGACAGATAACTTACAAATCTTAAGATGTATTAAGATCTGTTGCATCTGTGTTTTAACGACATTAACGCACAACCAATTCTTTGATTCAGATAAAATATTTAGTGGCGAATACGGCAGTGACTTGGAGAATAAACTCGAAGTGGAGGTGGATCAGCTTCGAAACAGAAAGGAACGCGTTGCAGTAGCCAAGTATAAATGGGACAACAGTAAAGTCTTATTACAACACGCCTGTACTCAGTTAGCTTTCACTGTTCGAAGATGGCTGGAAATCCCAAAAGTGCAAGCAAAGTAATAACTCTATAAATTATTTGTCACTAAATATGTAGTTAACATGAGGATAATGATTTGCCATGGTCATTGAATAACCCCAGATAGAATACTCTGACTTCATTAACCTTAAAGATGTTTATTGGTATGAGCACTACGGCTTGATTAATTTTGTTCATCAGTACACGTTACAAATGTTTATATTTTCCGCATTTTGGGGTTTTGGGTTTTTTTTTTTTAACTTTTTAGTACTACTATTTGAAATGCATTGCTATGATATTTTCTTTGGGGACTTGTTCGGGCTATGTTTGCATATATATGATTTGCCAATGGTAATTGTTGTTGGGTTTTTTTTTACTATACATTGATTGGCTTTCGCAGTTCACGTACAAAGAGATCAGCGTTAAGATCATAATATTAGACGTTTACTTTTCTATGCATACCTATTAATTAAAATATTCGTTGGTGAACTGCGACAGTGTAATACGCGATTTCCAAGTGTATGGTGATTTACTCTTGGCCATGCTTACAGCAATAACGTTATTTCAAAGTTTAGTATACCAATTTATGATACATCCAATCTGCTTTTATACTTGTATAAATGATAATAAATCTAAATATATTGTTTTCTATTACAGCAACGTACAGGCGAAATACCACATGGCTACCGAATGCAGAAATAATGTTATTGCTGCTAGTCAGAATATCAGTAGTGCTCATAGATACCTTCAAAACATCAAGTTTCCTTATTGTGAACAATCTGAATTAGACACTTTAAACAAGGCTTGCAATAATATTTATATCGACATGCAATCTACAGATAGGCACCAGCATGCATTTCAGTGTTACAGTGTAACACATAAACGTGCCGCGGCTTTATTACAATGGTTTAATAATGTAAGTATATATATATATATTGTAGATTTGTGTAAATTGTATTCTTTAGCTCACAATCCCTATACGAATGCATGATGTGCTATTTAGCATATCTGAGTCGATGTTAGCGTATCTTGATCACGGTATATGTTTGACACTGATTTAGGCGCTGACTCACTAACCATTAGCCAGCTGAAAATAGTAGAACGTTAAACCCCATTTCATTTCATTGGTTGAGCAATGATTATGTGTTTTCGGCTTGGACTTCGTTGGTTGTGATTTTCCCCTTGACCAATTAAGTTACTACAGTTCAGATTCGATGATTAACTTTAATTCTTTTAAACAAGGTAACATTGATAATCACAATATCCCCCGCTCTCGAGAATAAGATTTAGCTCTATGAATTTAATCGATGTTCTGCCCTGTCGGAACGAGTTTGGGTCTTTTATATCGCCGGCAAAAAGGTGTAACATGTAATTAATTGATTGGTTGAAAATTCCCAATAATGCAAGGAATTGCCCAAATATGGACTATGTAACTAATAATTTAAAACTGCGTCTAATATATTTAATGGTTCGATAACCGGAATGGAATCTATCGGGCATTTTATTTACGCTGTGGAATAAAAATCCTGATTTGAAAACAATTTAATTGATTTTTAACAAAGTCCATGTACCCTAATAGACTACTCTAACCCTACTCTATTGCATATGAAGTAATTTAGTACATCATCTGTAGTAATGTATGGCAATTACGTGTCAACAGCGTTGAAACCCGCATTAAACCACGCCATGTTTTCCAATTGAGAAGGGTCGCAACAATTCAACAACGTGCATGCCATTGCTCTCGGTTCACTTTATGGCGTTCAATAATTGATCTGACAAGAACAGCTGTCTAGTTCCCGTGTATACATAGGCACGCACGTAAGAGATCCCTTGACGGTTGGAATTCGATATAAGAGTAGAGCATAGTGCCAATGAAAAGCTTCTTTTCTTTTGGAATAATAGTTAGCAGTTAACTGGTAAAGAAGTAGTTAGATCTTATGTAGAGTAGACCAACACAGTATCCAAATAAAAATAATCTAACTTTAATTAGGTTTATTAAATTATATGTTGATTATTTATGATATTAACAGGTTATTGAAGGAACGATAAATAAAGATCTAAAACAAGTACAAGAATCTTATAGTACAAAAGCTAGTGCGCTTCGACAAGAACGATTGAGATTAATAAAAGAAAAAATGGGTGGTAATGTCAGTGATTTGGGTATAACTGACGGAGGTGAGTTTAACTCGTCATTTTGTTTTTTGTACTTTTATAAATCGTCGCATTATAGAATATAATGGGTTTGTTTCATGTACGTGATAAGTGTGACCATTATAGTGTTACTAATTAGACGTATAATGCGGATAAAAGTACGCGGAATAAGACAGCTGATGGTTATGTAGTTGTTGTTGTTGTTGTTGTTGTTGTTAGTGTTTAACGTCCGCTCCCACCGAAGGTGATATCGCAGACAAGTTGTCTTTTTTTTTTATTTTCATTATCTTAGCGCACGCGCAGGGGTCTTTTCTGTGGGAGGAAACCGGAGTACCCGGAGTAAACCCACGAGGTTGAGAAGGCGCCCCTATCTCCAAGCCACATACGCTCACACCAGGGATCGAAACCACAACCGCAAGCCAGAGGTGACCGGCCAGCTAGAGGTCGAAGCGTGACACTCTAGACCACTAGGCCATCCCAACCCCCCTGGTTATGTAGTAGATCCATGTGCTCTATATAGCCAATAGGTTATTGGTTGTAATAGGGAGAAGGCCACAGAACTCTATTTTGAAAATAATAAACCATTCTTGAATATAGATGGCAAATATGTAAATATTGAATTATAGAGTTTAGAAATTATGCAAACCAAAGAAAGATAAATTATTTTGATTACAAAATGTTAACTTTGAATGACAAAATACTGTTAATATTTCTATTAAAAATTTATTTAAAATGCTAACAACAGATAAGGGTGATTCTTTACTTGAATATATAGATCAATCATTATCAAGTTCAATTGCAAAATATGTATACATTTCAGAAATCTCATATATGTTTTAAAGCGATGCCGCTTTTGTTATTCTATATTTTTAGACATTTCGTCTATAATTGTGAATACGTTCATAATAGCAATATTTTAAAAACCATATTTTTAGTTAGAAATATTGAGTATTCATATAATAGTTGCATTAATATAGTTGGATTACTTATGATAATCAGAAGTTATTGGGCCTATTCTTTTGAAGAAGTATATGTGTGTGACGGAATTAATTTCGAATACAATGGGTGACTGTGAATTACAAGACTGTGTATAAGGGGGCTTTCTGGCCAGCGAAACTGTTCACCTTGCTGAGACTTCCCATAAAACTATTTCCCATTACCTCAAACTTCATATTGGTTTAAATGGGTTAGGTATGTACCTCCCTTATTGACATAAAGCAGAATGACATCTCCCTCGTCTCAGTCTAGTCCTGTAGAACTGTGTGTACTGTGAATTTCTCCATATATGGAATAGATTATCTACTTTAACAATCTATATCAGATTTAAATATACATGTAGTATGTAAATATAATTATTATATGTATGTGCATAATGCTTATAAAATTGATAATGCGATGCATTACTTGATTACTTATTATAAGTTGCCTTTTTTCTCATTTTCTTTACTAAGATCTGGATAAAGTTTTTGGTATGTATCAGTTGCACAAAAATGTTACAGGACCCCATTATATAACCCTCTAAGTAATCTTGAGTTTCAAGCACCCTCGTTCACTTAATTGTTTTTTGCACCATTACACAAGGTAGTAAATAAGCGGGCCCATAAAAATCCCCTTGGCGTCCTGTGTTCACTCTTCGTTTGTATCTGTTGACAGTTGCACAATACACAGTTGTTGGTCTTGCATAGTTCCTAGCATAGGTGCTCATTTTAGTAGCCATTTTCCACCTCTTTATAGTAAAATAAAAAAGCACACTGACATGATAAATATATAATAAAGTAGATGTATAAGAAATAAATAAAAAATAACAAAAGTCACCAATACCAAGACTTCTTCTTTAACGATATATATTTAACAATAGTGATATATTTACATGTATAGTGTTTTGTAAGCCTAATAACGTGTTCTAAAATCCATCGCTTTTAATTTAAGGTCAACGAGATGATACAAAACAAGCAGGTTTTAAAGCTGACGAAACGGCTTTTGCAAAACCAGAAGAGGTTAAAGGTGATGATGGACAGGTAAATAAAATGGGACCTTTTAAAAATATTGTTATAGGTAGTGGCTTTTTAAAAATAAAAATGGGACCGAATTTAAAAGTCTTTTGAACACAAAAAATCCCTTGCAAACTATATAATATTGTGGAAGTTTAATCTCCAAAAGAAATTCAGAACAACATGGTTCTGTTCCGTTAAGAGTTTACAAAATGATGAACTAAAAATTTATGAACATTCAGCATCCTATAACTATATAATGTGACTGTAAAATATACAATCATGTATTCTCCAGCCCCCTAGTCTGTCAACCGAAGAGAGTGGCTCAACTGGTGCACCAACACCTCTTCCCCTGGATGAACTGGCTCCAGCGCCATCTACTGATGAACTCTTTGGTAAGTCTTTGTTAAGTCTTTGTTGCCATGGTAGTTTGTTATCGGGCATATATTATTGTTAAAAAAATTTAAAAAAATATTTTAAAAATACGAGGAGATAAATACAAGAAACATTATAGCCATGGTTTTAATACTTTAATTGTTATGCCAGGAAACATTGAACAGTTGAAGAAACAACACGAACAAGAATTGAAAGAATTTGAGAAAGCTCAAGAAATAAACAAAGCAAGAATGGAACAGGGCCTGCAAGAAAAATTACGACAGCGTAGAAATCGCAGACAGCGAACAGAAGAAAATTAGGTTATCCATACTTTCAATATAATATAATCACTGCATTGACGTCTATTTGGTTCATCAAACTAAATTTTTTCATAGTTGACTTTCGAATAATAATATATTGTTGCATTTCTTCTTTTCAAAATAGTTATAAAATCAAAGTGAACTCTGTAATATTGTTCTGACATTTGATTAAGTAAATCGTATTTGTCCATTTAGTTATCGGTAAAAAAATGTGTCCCTATACATTACAGGGGATGGAATTCCGTTAGAAAAGGGTATTTAATATTAATTAATTGGTTTCATTCTATGTCCGTTGCGTTTACTTTACACACGTATTATTATTATAGACTGTGTTATTTGTTTGTTTGTATTTATTATTTTTATATAGTGACACGATAATCAAATCCGTCCCAAGCTTAACTGCAACACTGTGATAACATTTTAATGCATTCATATTATAAGATGTATCAAAGCATGGCACGTTCATGGATGTTATTAAACTTGAATGATGCTAGAATGTTCAATGTTTGGGTTGTTTTTGGGTACAAACTGGCAGTGCCGACAATAGGCAACATGGTGTTTGGAAAAAGGGGTGGGGTGTAACCAGGGCCGTATCTAGCGGGGGTGAAGGGGATACATTGCACCCCCAGAAAAATAAGGCGCCCCGTAAAATTGCGCCCCCACTCCATCCAAAAAAACAAAACTTATTTGACAATCTTTCAATTATAAAATAATACACTTGATTGTGATCACACAGTGAAGCTCTTAAGGCACTGATCAGTCGATCGGTTTTAAGGGCGCCCACACCCCAATCGGTTCGTTTGCCCTGATCCAAACTTTCTTATATCACATACGTGGAGGCTATGGCGCCCCACCACTCTGCTGCAAAACCCACTTTTAAGATCCTACATACGGCCCTGGGTGTAACTTCGGAATGGAAGCTCACAGAATACTGAAAATCGACAGAGTTCGTCCTCTCATGACCCCATTCCCCCTAAAAATTAAAGTCAACAGAGTTAATCATTTCGCAGCCCTAGTGCTTCGCACCAATAACTATTGCATTGACAAGGTTTCAGAAAAGGTGGGGTGACTCTGGATAGTTATAGGGTTTGGCCACTCATGACAGCTTTTAATCTTAATCTGTATATATAACATAAGTAAATAGTATATCTATATAGCGGCGGTCTTAGCAATCGCCGATAAAAATATTAAAAACCGACTACAGCGTTTTTTGTCAATAGCGTCCAAAGGATAGCAAAAAATGACCAACAGTGAAATATAAGTTGTAGATATGCATACCCTATACACATCATCCTGATTTTTAAAAATAAATAACACAAGTATGGATAAGAAGTTTTGACAAAGCGACAAATACCGATAAGGAGGAAGTATAGCTTACGTTAGATATAAACGCTTTATAAAACCCAAGAATAGATGTGTTATAGATAGATCTGTCATAGAACTAATATCAAAACTTCAGTTGAATGAAAACAGAGGAAGATATATGGGGTTGTAAGAGTCCATGCATGCTCCAACAAACCGTCTTCTTTTCACCAATAAACAAGGATCAGAATGTCATAGTTGCCAGATATTCTTTTCTATTAAACTGGCCACATGTCATCGGTGGCATACCCCTTCTATGGGTATAAAGTTTGGATACGAAGGATAGGATATACTGTTCTTAGTTTTTAACGTCCGCTTCCACCGAAGGTGATATCGCAGACAAGTTGTCTGATTTTCATTTTTATTATCTTAGCGCACGCGCAGGGGTCTTTCCCATGGGAGGAAGGAAACCAGAGTATACCTGAAGTAAACCCACGAGGTTGAGAAGGCGCCCCGATCTCCAAGTCACATACGCTCACACCAGAGAGAGAGATGGGATTTAACGTCCACTCGACACAAACTAGGTCATTTCCGAACTAACATATGGTTCAATTTTATTTCAATAATTCTCTTGCGCGTAGGGGCCTTTAGCAGTGGGAGGAAATCGGATGCCCAGAAAAAACCCACGAGGTTGAACAGGTGACCTTAGTCCTTGTCACGTACAAACGGGGAATCGAAACCACGCCAGTTGACTCAATGATAGACCTTATGATGCAGCGCGCTCGCGCTAACTCCCTCGCTCACACCTGGGATCGAAACCACAACTGCAAGCCAGAGGTGACCGGCCAGCTAGCCCCCCCCCCCCCTTCGAGATAGGATATCTAAAACCGCGTCTTTTATGTGACCGGACGGCCTGACAAGGACAGCTGTCTAGTCATTCAGATGAAACGAAAAACCGAGGTCCCGTGTACACATTGGCGTGCACGTAAAAGATCCCTTGACAGTTGGAAGTCGATATAAGAGAAGGCCGTAGTGCCGCTGTCCGGGAAAAATTTCCCTCATAGCACACTGTGTGGCGTATGCCCGTCTTCATTAGCCTAGTTCGGAGCAAAACAGTAGGACGTTAAACCCCATTTCATTTCATTTCATTTCATTTTTATGTGACTGTACACTGCTCTGATTTATGTGAATTTAACGTGCAATATTGGTTAGTGTGTATTACACCTGCAATACTTATCCATACACCGTACAATCCATTGGTCTATGTTTATTACAAGCTACTGATAGATGTTTATTACGAGTATTTAAAATACAGATGTGACATGCCAATCGTACATTATTTATGGTCTGTGGGTCCGCCCTTGCTACTGATCTATGTGTATTTAGAAGGATAATATACAAGCTACTGGCCTGTATGTATTACATTCAGGTTCCGTAATCAATTTGGGGGTGGGGGTTAACGCCTGCGCGTTGGCCCATAAGGTCTGTAATTGAGTCAAGTGGTGTAGTTTCGATTACCTCTACGCGCAAACGAATTACTGAAATATAATAGTACCATATATGTTAGTCCCGAAATATGACCTAGTTTGTGTCTCGTATTCGATTAAAACTGTAAACCCTAAACGTAAGTAACCAAGGGCAGTTAAAGTAGAAGAGTGTCTGGCAACTAAGGTGCAAAGTTCCGTTAACACCATAGCTGAAAAATTACCTTACTTTTCTCATTTGAATACCAATTTGTGGTAAACGAAACCTTTCAGTTATCCCTTATATTATATAAATTGTGACTTGATGTGAAGCCTAACGGGAATTCTATATTATTACAGCTAAACAGCCCACGTTCTCTTCTGCCAATTCGGCATTTCTTCTTCAATTTTCTCGAACTGACGACGGGGATCGAAAGGTTGAGACAATGTCCGTTAAAATGGTGTGTAATCTGGGATAATTTAGAACATATTACTGAGCCAAAAGATCCTTAGTTACAGATTGCGCCCACTTGATACACCAAAATATATTCTGGCAGGAGATGACAATTAGTGCTGACTCGACACCATACGGAGAACTCTGATTCCGACCGCTTGACATACCCTGCATGGACTACTCTAGTTCAAGATTCCGATAGCTTGACACTGTTAGACAACTGGACACCCCGTAATCCAGGAACAGATTCCCGCCGCCTAACAACTCTTGGGTTACTGCAGTTAACGGTTTCGCTCATTTGACTCAGTTCGCGGTACTCTTAAGTTAAAAATTCCAGCCGCTTGACTCCAGTGGATACCAACTATCGATTCCTTGACACCCACGAATTACTCTGGTTGAAGATTCCAGTCGTTTGACACCCCAGTCTGAACTCACGTACCCAATGCTCTCCACCGCCAGGTTTATGACCTTGAGAATAGTCTAATATAATCGAATAAATTATTCTACAAATTTTTATGTTCATATTTTCAATCATTTTATACAACCATTAACTCTGATACAGGTAGGCCAATATATTTTTCTGTTTAGATATGAAACCCTGATGAACTTTCTCGGTCAACGTCGGGATCGAACATGGGAACCCCAGGTTAGCAAACCAACGTCTTACTCACCGAGCCACCGCGGTATATAAAGACTACAAGCTATTCGTCTGGTAGACGCAGTAATCAGGAAGCTGAATGACGTCAAATATTCCACGCTGAAATACAGGCATAAGTGTAACAGATTTGTTTCTCTTCTCACGAGAAATCGTTTCTCATTTGATCCACTAGGGTAAATTTTTCAACCAAAAATCCCACTTCAGCGGTATTTGACACAAAAGCTTACTCTATACACCTAAGCTATTTTGAATCGAGCCCGACACTTATTCGTCATTTTTATACTGCTGAACATCTATTTTGATCATTATTACAAACTAGACAGACAATGCCATTTCTTACATTTTTAATTCTTGTACCCATAAAAAGAATTGTATGCCAATTTAAAACTTGTATTGCGTTTGTCTTAGATCTTTGATACAATATAATCTAAACATGCCTGGTGTGACTCTAGTGTCAGATAAAAACACACTTTTACCAACGACGGAACAAAGATGAACGTCAGATATTCACTAAATACGTCTTCATCGGCAACTCTATATATAAATCAGTATTATACTTATTCATCAGTGCAGAGCTGTCGACTGACTAGCTGTCAAAAAATTGTTGATATCTTTGACGGACATTTAGTGCTTCTACCACCCTTCGTTTCATCCTTTCCTCTATTACAGATAATGATAAGCTGACAACCAAGATAGTAAGCACAAAGGTATACAGAAGTAGAGTTGGATGACTGAGAGTCATTTTGATCCAAATACATTAAGTTACACTTAATTCTTACAGATGATTTTTATTTAGTCTCCAATTGAATGACTTCTTAAACAAATAAGTGTTAAGTATTGATCTAACTTAAAACTACAATATCTGGAGAATTCTTTATTCCAGTAGCAGATCCATTCAACCCTATCAGGGCTGAGTAGGGAAAAGTCTGTCTTGCAAGAGTATAAGATTATAAGAGAACACTTGGGGCAGTAGATTTAAACATCACAATGCATAACAAAAGAGTTTTAAATTTGATTCAGTAACACATAAACAAAACTGAAACCATTTTTGTCAGATTTTAATTAAGTTAAGAATACCATCATCACAGGTGTTGTATTATCAGTTTAAAACAAGGCTTTATACAGTAAAATACGAGATATATACACATATAATAGGCAAAAATATAGAAGATGGAATTATTATTGGTTGTTGATGGATAAGACAACACTAACAGGATATTAACATGCATATGTATAAAGCATGACACAGACATACTGGCTCACAACATTTTAACATAAACAAAACAAAGTTAAGCTTTATTTTAATGCACTTCCATCTCAGTAAAGCATATTAATCATAGTAATAATTGTAAACAAACCCAGCAGATTAAAGCAGCTTTATTGCTGAAATGTTGAACAAGTTGAGTTCCCACTGAAGTATCTTGTTCTAAACTAAAAACTTTGTTCTAAACTGAAAACAGTGGCCGATCCAGTATCAAAAATTCACTTATTATTCTGTTTCTAAGAAACATGTAAATCTGAGCTTGTTGTTGTTTGGGGTGATGTACTTGATGAAATTGAATGCTATATTCGATCAAGATATGCACCAAAAATCAAGATTATTTCTTTTAAATGTTCAATTCAGAAGTGGAATTCTAGTGGCAATCACAATTTTAAAATATATTTAAGAACCTGTTCATACTTCATCACAGAAAATATCTAAAAGTTTCTCAAATATTGAAATCAAGTACATGTGTAAAACATAAAAAGTAAAATGTTATTAATATAGGCAGAGCACCAGTTAATTGAGCTACACTTATTATAGTTTTAATAGTAGATTATCACAGATTATTCTGTAAAAAGCTTAGCACCATAGTTTTATAATGTTCACTTGCTTCATGACTACGAATACCATGTCTTTCATTTGGATATACCTTAAACGACAACAAAAATGAAGTTTTATTCAATTTCTGGTTTTAGTAGATAAACCCGATATGTATTAGATAACATTGATATATAACATGTTAGTTAGTATGACAGACAGGGTAAGCTTCACAGGTTGAGTAAGACTGATTCTTCATGATGTATAACCACCAGTAACATAGAGTGGTCCATATACAAAGGATCTTCAAAATACTGCCAATGAAGCGATTTGTTTTTCATCCCATCTGAAAGGCTAGCCACTTTTCCTTGCCATGCCCTCCACCCCTGACAAGGGGAACCGGACTAGAAAATCCTGAGGAACTTTTTTTCCTGGAGTATAATTAGTATAACAAGACCTCCACCACTGACAAGGGGAACCAGACTAGAAAATCCTGAGGAATTTTCTTCCAGGGTATAATTAGTATAAGAAGAAAAGGGAAGGGGGTACGGCAACACTCCCTTACAGTAGCAGGGGCTGGACAGGCCGGTGTAGATCTGTGTAGCTGCTGGATTAAATGATGATTCCAGCAGAGAGAGTAGACATAAATAGATATATAAAAATCCCTGCTCAACAGTAGTACAAACAGATTTTAAGTAGAAATGAGAGGTGGTTGATTCTTCATAACTAGTAGAAGAAGTGTAGTAAAGAGTATCAAAAGGGATTTTAAATTTTGCCTGGCCTGAGTTCTGTTATGAGCACAGTGTACACAGCAACTGGTTCATTGAAGTAACTAGAAGCACTTTTCCTACAGGCCTATATAACATCCCAAAAATTCTTCTCAAGGAATGAAAATTGGGCAGCCTACTCTAATGTACTAACCACATATATACCCCAGCTCCCTAAAAAAAACAGATACTAGAAATATAACCTACCTGTAGTCTATAAGGTTTACAATATCTAACTAATGTATTAATTAAATAGTTACTGTGGTGGAAGTGAACATTTTCATCTATTAAACCATGAACTATTAACAATCGATTCTCTCTGAAACAACACAATAGACAATAAAAAAAACAACACTTTATGGCCATAACTTCTATAAATAATTACTTCATATTGTTCAAGCTAAATTATCTTTATTGTAGATTCCAGCTGAGTATTCAAAAAAATAAATTTCTCACTGGACCATTTAGTATTAAATGGAGTAATAAACAACATTACATTTACTTTCCTATTTGGAAAATATGTTAAAACTAAATTGTATCAAATGCTTAGCAAAGTTGTAAGGATCTCTAAAAAAAACCGAGAGCATCGCTAACGCTGCATTATACGTCCACATTCCTGCTTTGATTGATATGGTACTTTTTAAAATGAAGAGACTGAAATATGAAATGGCTGTAATATGACAAGAGGCAAATAAGGCTAGGCGTTTGTTTTGCCAAATTTACAGACAAAATATTAACCAGAAAGTGGGTGTGTCACTGCCGCAGGGGGTCACAGCATGCACCAAAATAAATAGTTGCTGTCTTTACGGTATAAGAAATAAATATGCAAATTTCCAAGATGATCCATTCAGAATTGCAGCCTGTAGATGATAAATACAAAAATTGGGCTTGGCTCTGCCCCTGGGGGCTAGATATAGAACAATATAAATAGGTACCACCCTGTTAGTGTTATTGAAATGATTGATATGCCGAATTTGAACAAAATCTGTTAATTTTTGCAACGTGTAGAGTATTTACCTATAAAAATTAACAAAAAGTGGGTGTGGTACCACAACCCCCGGGGTCGGGACATGCACCAAAATAAATAGTTGCTATCCTTACAGTATATGGTATAAATATGCCAAGTTCCAAAATGATCCATTTAGAATTCCAGTCTGTAGACAAAAAACACAAAAATTGGGCAGGACTCTGTGGGTTGGACCAGTATATGTATATAGGTACAACCCTATGCTGGTTCATTCCAAATTAGATCCAAATCTGTTAATAATTGCAACCTGTATATCATTTATAGACAAAATATCAGCAAAAAGTGGGTGTGGCACTTTTTGAGGGGGTCGTGTACCAACATCAATAGTTGCCGTCCTTCGGGTATAAGGAATAAGTATACCAAGTTGCAAGATAATCCATTCAGGATTGTAGCCTTCAGGCGCTAAAGGCAAAAATTGGGCATAGCTCTGCCCCTTGGGGTCAGGCATTCACCAAAATCAATAGTTGACACCCTTAGGCTATAAGGAATACATATGCCAAGTACCAAGTTGATCAATTCAGAATTGCAGCCTGTAAATGATAAACACAAAAATTGGGTGTGGCTCTGCCCCATGGGGTCGGGACATGCAGTTGTCGTCCTTAGGCTATAAGGAATACATATCCCCAAGTTCAAAGACGATTCATTAAGAATCGTGACCTGTAGGCAACACACAGAGACACCAAGAAAAAATGGGTGTGGCTCTGTCCCTAGGGGTTGGGCAATCACCAAAAAACAATAAGGGTCATCCTTAGGGTATAAGGAATAGGTATGCAAAGTTTCAATAGGATCTAATAAGAATTGAGGCCTGTAGGCGAAACACAAGACACAAACATTGGGCGTTCACAAAAAATAATAATAGAAGTCAGCCTTATGGTATAAGGAATAAGTATTAAAAGGTTTTCAAGACGATCGATTAAGAATTGCGGGCTGTAAGAGACACACAGACACACAAAAAGAAAATGGGCTTGGCTCTGCCCCTGGGGGTTGGGCATTCACCAAAAACAATAGGGATGTTCCTTAGGATAGAAGAAATAAGTATGCAAAGTTTCAAGATGATACGTTAAGAAATGCTGCCTGTCGACGACAAACAAATACAAGAAATGGGCGTGGCTCTGTCCCTGGGGGTCGGGCATGCACCACAAACAACAGGGATCATCCTTAGGTTATAAGGAATAACTAATAAAAGGTTCAAGATGATCACTTAAGAATTGTGGTCTGTAGGCGACACACAGACACACACCCACACTCACACACATACATACATACACACACAAAGATAGGGGCGACGGCAATATACGTCCACATTAAAAAATGAGATTATTAAAAAAAACACAATTTATTTATACTTCTACATTATCTATGGGGAAATTTGGGAAAAGAAAGATTAAGTTTATGTCTCAAGCACCCCCATCCCCTATTCCAAATCACAACCATGCCTAAATCATAGCAACACACCAAAATACAAACATGTTATTTATCTAACTATTTTCTCTTGAGTTCAAATCTTGCAAATGAAGACAAATATTACCATTGAACAGAAAACAGATAATATCAGCCATTTTTATCAATGTGCATAAATTTTATCTCAAATATAAATCAACAATTTATAGAATAACAATTACTAGTTTATTAACATGCAATGTTTCCACGATAATGATACTCTCAAACAAACGATAATCAATACCTAAAATTCAAACCAAGGTATTGTCCTGTTTAATTCTAATTAACTTATATACATGTGTGTGTAAACACAATATAACTTACTCATCAGGGAATGACTCAATATAATCTAAAACACAGCCAGTTTTATAAGCTTGTACATTTGTAGAAGGTAAACCCATGTATCTTTCTGTATAACCAGTATCATAGAGTGACCAACTAACTACTGGTGCTCCTGCTATTGCTAACTATAATATAACAATTATACATCAATTAAAAAATATTATATTAAACTCTTAATACATTGAGAGATTCTAATTTTATGCTTGATCTATCTGCATTTTCAGCATATTCTCTTTTCAATACCTATTTTTTAACTATTATAGCGAGAACTGTCAGCCCTTTATCTAATCTTACCTAATGCTCCTTTAATAATTATATTTTATTTAGTAATGAAATACAAATTCTCCTGAACTACTAAACCATTTACCTTAAATATTTCTGGTCTTTGTGATAAACCCATTAAAGACAGATATCCACCTGTAATTAGAATACATCTATATGAATGGGATATGACATAGGTTGTATTTATGTTTTAAAGCCAAATTTTGCCACATATGACATAAATTTCTGAATGGGCCTTTGAGGCATTGGTTGCTTCAACAAAATGAATTCTCTATAGAATAAATTACTTTTATTGATGTGTTCAATTCTCTTCTGCATTGAATATTTCTCCTTTTTTCTTAAAAGCTAAAAGCTTAACAATACAGACAATGCCACGAAAACTACTGTCTTTAATAATAAAGAAAAGTAATTCTTACCATAAGACCAACCATGTATTGCTACTCTTGTTATATCTATAAAATCTACATTTGAATTAATCCATAATAATCCTTCTACTTGTTCATCTATTTCAACTGTTCCCTATAAAAATATAAAACATATTACTAGTGAGAGGATTTAAAAGGAACATTCCATTTCATGATAATAATGATCTGATTTGTTATAATTGACTGTCTGTAAAGCTTCACACAAACAGTACCAACTATTTTATCCTTCACAGTAGTAACACTTTCTTCATGAAGTTTTATACTTAAATGTACTTTATAACATAATAATAACAAGTCTTTACATTAATTTAGTACATAGTTTTGACTGTAGAAATGTATGTGTACAGTCTGACTTGTTGTGCCTTTAAATAATGAATTCACATATTGCCAACAGTTGAAATGGGAGATTCTAGTTCATGGCAGGTAGCACCTTACCAGACTATGCTTTAAAATACTTTCAAACATAATTCCTCTGTGTGATGAACCTCTACAGTCTAGCACTATCACAGCATAACCTTCGGAAGCCAATGTATGAAGACGTAAAAATCTACAAAATCATAAATAACAAATCATTAATGTTCTTCTGAATATTTTTTCAGAAACGAATAGTATCTTTATTTTAATATGGTAATTTTATAACCGGACAGGTTAATGTTTATTTAAGCCATTAATGTTCATTTTATCAAGGTATTTTACATATTCAGTTAAACTGTTATTTGTAATTACCATTAACATTAAAAATCACTTACTTTACACCTTTAAAAGAATTAGTAACTAACTGCACCTGTGGTCCACCATAAACATATAAGACTGTAGGATATTTTTTACCCACTTCATAATTATGTGGTTTATAATACATTCCATACACCTTATTACCGGAAGTAGCATCAAAATCAAAAATTTCGGGAGCTTTAAACTCTGGACAAACTAAAATAAATATTTGACAGTAGTTTGATTGATTACATTGTAATGCAGTGTCAGAGCTTAAATTATATTTATATACATGTTCAGTTGGCCTATTGAAATTTTACACATGAACATAGAAGCAGAACTCCAAAAGTAAAATGATTAAACAAAATCAGTTTATTTTTCCTGTGACCTGAAACAAGACTATTACTTAGACTACCTTGGCTCTGTGATGGTCTTTATAAGCTGTTTTTGTATAGGCTGTCTGTGCAAGCTATAGATCCCAAGACAATTTTCCATTCTCGCAACCACAGATCATGGCAAATGCCGATTAATGGTAAAATAGATAGACCTACACTATCTTGCCATAAAATATTTTAGTTGACTGTTTTCACATTGGCAGAAATTAATTTAAAATATATATTTACATTAAATGATAATAATCAAGATTATCGGTGAAGATAACAAGTCTGCCAAGTGCCAATGTACATGTATACCTCAGAATATTCTTATTAACAATTTGCAAATATTAGATGTTTCACTACTAGCAAAATAAACTCTTTTCTTCTTTGTATGAATTTTGTCTTTGGTTAAACATAAAATTAAAGTTCATGGCAATGTAAATAAGGAATCTGTTATTCTGTGACATTTGTGTAGCATGTAGGTTATAGCCATTATGTTCTATCCATGTTAGGTCATGTTAACTGATAACTTATGTTCAATGTGTACTTATTCTGTTTGATAAGCTAACTTGTCCATAGTCTTAGAATCTTTGTCAGTTAATATAGAATAATTGTGTATAATAATATATACCTGTATGTTCCATTAGTATACCTATACACCGTGCATTAATATCTTTATTTGTATGTTGTATTCTATTTACAGTAGCTCTTGGTGTTTGTTGTATACTACTATATACACTTATATACATTGTACAATCCTGTAAATAATATAATATAAATTATAATATAGTCTATTACTTAGCCTTACAATTGTAAAAAACATTGACAAGGGATTGCTAGGCCCCTCAATATAACCACCACCGGGAAAGTTACTGTACTAGCTTCAAAACAATTGACAACAAAACACCACAGACTCTATCCCAAGCTTTAAAAGCCTAAACATTTGAAAATTTAAAGGTCAATAGGATTCTTTCTTATACCCTAATGAATGAATGAATGAAATGGAGTTACATGGCAGGTCAGCTTCAACCAGACTATATTGTGCCAAACATGTTATTGTAACGAGACAAAATAAAACAATATCACAGAAATGTATATATATATGTAAATAAGATAGGTTGCCAGGCTATGAAACATACGCCCACAGCAGTTAAATCGTCCGAGCAATCGACAAGCCAAGGGTTGTCGCATATTTATTCTTTTATAGGTAATTCGGGGCATTTAATAGACAATTCCATACAGATGAAATTATAATTTTCGTCGTTTGAGGGTTCACAAGGTTCTAAAAACTAAAACAAGGGCATTAACTCTGGAAGTAATCTACAAGAATTGTTGAAATTCGACAGGCTTTTTTGTTTTACTAATTCAAATAATGCATATAAATTTCATACAGATCGGATGATAACTTTTGTCGTTTGAATGATCGCAAGGTTCAACAATAACTTCAGCTATAACTCTAGATTAATTAACGGAAATTGCTGAAATTCAATAGGCTTCTTCGCTTTACTAATTTAAATGATGCATATAAATTGATGCATATAAATTTCATACAGATCGGATGAAAACTTTTGTTGTTAGAGCGTTCACAAGGTGCAACAATGTGAAATAAGGGCCATAACTCCAGAAGAAATTAACAGAAATTATTGAAATTAAATAGGAATATTCATCTGACTAATGCAAACAACATATCGCAATTTCAAAACAATCAGATGATAAATGTAGTCTGTAGAGTCTTCACAAGAAATTGTGTACGGCGGACTGACGGGGGAGAAAGCAACATACGACATTTCCATGTGAGCGTATAAAAAACAAATATCACAGAAAATAGATTTAAAAACAAATATATCAAATCCTTTACATACATAAATATTTTAATCGTGATACTGAATACATTGTACTGAGGCATTGCCTATGTCTTCATGGTGCATGTATGTTTTCAACACTGAAGGTCGAGGTTTTGAATCCTGACACAAACTATGTTACATGTTAAAAACAGAAACAGATAACAAATACAAAATTACTGTACAGACTTTATACACCTATTTAACGGTGTCGTTTAATGTCAAATCTAATATTATATTATCAGTAAATAACACTATAGCACATTATTTTAATATTTTTCTCTCCTTGTAAAAGTAATTTAATCAGACTTACTATGTTCATAGCTACAGAATGACTAAAACCTAAATGTGTTATTCTAACAGGTTCACGCGGGGATTCATATGACACACAATATCTGAAAATATATACAAAATATATATATATATATATATATATATGTATAGATAATATTCAAATAATAAATACATATTTAATATTTATGATGGTGTAATGGAATTTTTTATTTGTGGGGTGAGATTCAGTGCAATAGGAGAATTTAGCAATGTGATAATTGTACAATAATTCCTGTCTAGATACAAATGAAATGAAATGAGGTTTAACGTACTACTGTTCTGCTCCTATACTGGGCTAATGAAGACAGTGTGCTATGAGGGAAATTTTGCCCGGGCAGCGGCACAATGGTCTACTCTTATGTCGAATTCCAACTGCCAAGGGATCTTTTACATGCACACCAATGTATACACAGGACTGTGGGTTTTTTTTGTCCAAATATTATGGACAAATCTTTAAATATGACTTACAGATGTGTTTCTAATGGTGTATCTTTAAGACCAGTAAAATATACTAATTTTCTATAACTATCTACCCATACCTGAAAAATTCAATATATATTAATTATAATATTCCTAAAATATCTGACGGCCTAAAAATCTTTATATTTTTATTCAATTTTTTTCAAAATAAGTGGCATTTAGTAACTGATAAAGACAAGAGAACAAAAGATGAAATGTGGCCAGAAATAAACTTCTAAGTAACTTGTATTACATATAATTGTGTCATGTGTTATCATAAGACTACTTACAGGTAATGATAAAACTTCCCATGACCCACTGGTAAGAGTTACCTCCTTTAAAATTTGGCACTGTGGACATTCTGAAACTAAAACCAGCAAAAATGATACATGTAATTAATTAATTGCTATAATTAACTCTCTTTCAATTCTGCTAGTTTCTAGAATTTAAATATTTTCTCCAAATATCTTGACAATTACACCACAATATTTATATATATACCAAGCCTTAAATCAGTTTCGAACATTTAGTTGCACCGATACAGAAAAAAAATATCGCGATATCCTTATAATATCAATCATAATTATAAATAAAGTGGATGCTTTCTTCGTGGGGGTTTGGGACCAGACTATATCAACGAGTAGCCAACACGTGTATGATAATGATTAATATCATTCAGTGAAATGTATTTGATACATGAGACTAATGTCAGTCAGTTGGTCCTTTGCGTTAAAAACGTCTGTCTCAAAGTCTGTTGTGGAATTTGGAAAATCGGCACTTGTTACAATTTGAATTCTTCTTCATTTTTGGAGTATTTTGAACGGATGTAACGTGAATTGTGATTAAAAATGAAAATATTGCGATATTCTTTAGAATTAAGTAATTATCAGAAAACCATAAGAATTTGTTTGGTTTTTATAAAGTTCTGCTCCAAGCTAACGTTTACTATACGAAACTTTTAACATTATGGATTTAGCTGTTCAAGTCATAAAGATTCATTGAAAATCAATATACTTGTTCGTCTCAAGACCTTAAACTCTATGTATCAATCTGAAGACAATCGGATGATAACTTTAGCCTCTAGAGTGTCACACTTTGGCAGTAGTTATTGGAAATCACAGGATTTTTCAAAGTGATCAAGGGCCATAACTCTGGCAAAAATTATCGGAAATCGCTGAAAATCAATACGATTCTTCGTCTCATGACCTTAAACACTGTGTATCAATTTAAAGTCAATCGGATATTAACTTTAGCCTCTATAGAGTCCACAAGATTTTTCAAAGTGATCAAGGGCCATAACTCTGGCAGTAATTATCGGAAATCGCTGAAAATCAATAGGCTTCTTTGTCTCATGACCTTAAACATTGTGTATAAATTTAAAGTCAATCGGATATTAACTTTAGCCTCTAGAGCGTCCACAAGCTTTTTCAAAGTGATCAAGGGTCATAACTCTGGCAGTAATTATCGGTAATCGCTGAAAATCAATAGGCTTCTTCGTCTCATGACCTTAAACACTGTGTATAAATTTAGAGTCAATCGGATATTAACTTTAGACTCTAGAACGTCCACAAGTTTTTTAAAGTGATCAAGGGCCATAACTCTGGAAAAAATTATCGGAAATCGCTGAAAATCAATAGGCTTCTTCGTCTCATGACCTTAAACACTGTGAAAATTTTTAAGTCAATCAGATATTAACTTTAACCTATAGAGCGTCCACAAACAATTGTGGACGCCGGACCGACGGATGGATGGACGGACGGACGCGCGGACGGGGGCGACAATAATATACGACCACATTTCAATGTGGCGTATAAAAATGGTCACTTCGAGACAAGCCACTGAAGCATGCCATAACATCTGGGCACTTTTGAGTAAAAAATAGGTTATGTGCTCTTGTTTTGAAATTAGTCTCGCTTAACCAGTCTACCGACCATTCTCCGTTTGATTGACAGGCATAACAGAAAGCTGGAACAAGAAATTGAATTTTGAAACACGCACGTTCGGCAACTCAACAATTGTTTTAAGAACCTTGCAAAAGTAAAATGAAACTACTGCTAGTATTAAGTTCTTGCCTAACTTGAGTGTTTCAGAGATATTATTTGTACTAAACCAAAAGATTCCGCTCCTAACGGTATGGTTAATGATAAAGCATGTTAAAAAATAAAACGAACGTAATTTCTTAAGCTGCTCTAATAACCAAATAGTTAAATATTACTGCTATTCAGAATCGTCAATAATAGATTTTTTAAGGCTGTAATAGTTGATAGATGCGTAGAGAATTTCACGTGCGATGGCCATTTATCATAAAGATCTTGGTTCCTTTTGATAATCACACATATCCAAACGTAACTTCCTGGATTATGGCCCCGGATTGGTCGAAAAATTGCATTTTTAGCTTGTGGATTCTCTAGAGGTCACAATTTTTTTCCGATTTTAAAAACTGTTTAGATATATCACCATTCCACCATAATGAAGGTTGAATTGGAATTTCGGGAAAATCGAAATGAAACTGCCTGACAAAATGGCCACTCTTTGTACGCAAATTGTGTACAAGTATGTAAATACAAAGGTTATGGACCCTCTAGAGGTCACAATTTCTATCCAATTTTGATGAAACTTAAAACATATCTTTATATTCCAAAAATCTCAGTCCCTTTTGATATTTGCGCATTTCAGACCATAACTTTCTGGATTATGGCCTCTGATTGTACAAAAAATCCTTTTTGTTTTTAGCTGCACGGGGCACCCTATCATATGATTTGATAACTGTATTAGCTATAAATTTGTATAGTATGCAGTTAAATCCATTCATGGACAGTGATATGTTACTATTTTAATTTTAGAAGAAAAGAAATTAAAGATTATTTTTAGCACAGTATGATAAGATATTAAATACAGATTCTGATTTATTTAAGAAAACTCTGATTCTCCTTCAAAATAAAACTAATTCTTATAGTATACATTCTCAGAAACTCATAGTATATTGTGAAAGCATATTATTCTGGTAATCTGATGAAGAATTTAATTGTCCCTCAATTAATTCTGAAAATGTAGATCTGAATATAGAACTATGATGATTTGATAAATAACTGTTACATATAGGCAGGTTTAAGAATACCAGCATAGTGTAATAATTTCCCTCAAAATCCAATACAGATATTATAACACTTTGTAGTGAGCAATATAGATGTATGAAGCGTTCGTTTCTTCAAATGATTAATGCAAATTTTAATAAAAAAAGTTTCTCGATTAGGCAATTTCAACTCTTGGGTGGGTGGTGTGCAAATGATGGATGTTTTGAAATTTTGATTGCAGGTATAAAACCTTGAGTATTAAAGACTGTAACTGTAAATACAAAATGTTGAATTTACCAAACAGCACTGTGATATCGCTCATTATGTAGGTGCATAGACTGTAGTCAGGCCACGAAATTTGACGGGACCGATACCAATCGGTTACGTGCGGTCGCGCTAGCTCAAAAACACGCGACCGATTTCCTGGTTACGCAAATTGAAATATCGGTTACGTTAACAAATTTCATTAACAGATTTATTCACATTTGATCAATTTTGCACGGGTCTAAATTATTAGTATTATAGCACAAACTCCATTCATTCATTCTTGGCATTTCATTTCTCCATTTTACCGGTACTTTGACAGATCACGTATTTTGACACCACGTAGGCTACTGACCAGTTGCAAGCACGTTGATTTAAAAATGCCCCTCACTCCTAATTCTTTAAATGATTAGTTATGCCATAAATTTTGAAAGCGTACCTTTGGATTTTCAAACACAAAATGAGAAATGAGTTTGACTATTTAACATGTCGGCTATATTTCCAAAGAATTTACTACACATGTTCCTTTCAGTTTTTACTATAGCCATGCTGTAGTACTAATGACCCGTATGAATGTCGTCAACTTTGACCCCCTCCCCGGCATCGCTCGAGTGATAATGTAAACGATTTTACTCTCCTGTCTATTTTAATATTATTTCATGACATCAAACTATTCTGTTTCCTTTTGAGACTTTGTGTATAGAGTGCCAAGGTTTATAATAAATACTGTTTGTCAATCAGTCGCTATACCTATGAGTGAGGCTATCGCATGCTACGTGCTTGGATGAATGATTGCAAGTGACAAGTGTAATATGAAGTACGCATGTAGTCTTCAGTGACCGAAAACAATGTGGTAGCTACCATTCCTGGTTTTTGAAGGTCAGATATAATACAAAAACGAAAATCCATTAGTAATTTTTGGAACCGATTCCCCTCATTATTAAAATGTAGGGATTTAGTGAAGTGGAACATTTTTTTCTAATGTTATATTGTTTGATGGGGACACCGTGGGATTAAAGTCATTAACACTTAACCTAATATAATATTAAATATAAAAGAATAAAGTTAGTCAAGTTATTTCTTTAAAAAATACATTCACTGCAAGTGGAAATGAATAATAGCACCATTTATATCTGGATAAAACATGAAAACAGTGCAACCATTTTATGTAACCAATTGGTTACGCAATGATCATCTGGCGTAACCAAAGAAAATGGTTACGCAGAGCATAAACCCGCAACCATTTTTCTGGTTACGCCAAAATTTGAAATTTCGTGGCCTGGTAGTGTACATTATGTATTGGTTTATTTGCGCGATACACAGTATCTTACACAAAGCTGAGCAAGCAGTTATAAGATTGTGATGAAACACCAAGTCTGAACAAAAAAGGGTTTATGAAAAAGTAACTTTTAATTTGAAATAATAAAGCAAATGTATCAGGAAACGACTGTTTAATGGTTGACATAGATTAAAGAATAGTGTAGTGCCAAAGCTGTTCATTTTTGGTGATGCAAAGAAAATTTGGTAACCCCAAGTGTAATCCTATAAATGATATCTCTAATTACTATACCTGTGTTTTCCTCCAATTCCATAATAACATCTGATAGTGTAGATGGTAATCTATGTAATACTTGTGATGTTATTAAATATAAATGTCTAAAACTAGTTTTCTCACTAGCCCATATAAAACTTATTGAATTATTGTCAGTTTGTGGAAGAAAATGAAGAATATCATGTGTCTGAAAAAGAATTATGTATACTTTATCCTTACTATTATTCCACAAGTCGTCATTAATCTAACAACTATATTTTCATTCTTATCTATACATATACTACAACAGAAATTATTCGATGGGTGAACCTTCCAAACTAAGAAACAGATGCCAGTGGTTTATTCTAACCATAAATGTGTTTATAAATTATCAAATACCCCAACCTCACTCAAAGCAAAAGAGTAGTCTCAACCATTTTTGAAAGGCAGGGGACAAATTAAAAATTCAATATTATATTGCACTCTTCTTGATCAAAACTAGAATAAATAAAAAGCCCTTACATTAATCCAAATATCTGAAGTTTCATTGTATAGTATTTGTATTGGAGGTAAGTTGGAGGTACCATTAGACATTTCAGCATCTGATAAAACCGGTGTAAAATGTTGTAAAGGTATTAAAATTAATGATAATCTTTGTTGCTGCCTATCTAATAACTGTGCATGAACACTGAAATATATACATAAATATTTTTAACTTGGTGTCAGTTATTATCACATATGTGATAGAACTGGTTAAACACGTTCCAATTACAATTTTAACACAGAGATCCTTGTGACCATAGATGCGTAATGAAGGTTTCAAGAAACGGAAGAGACGAAAGGAAAACACAAGTTATCCTTCTATATAACTGACTGAAGTGACGAGTGAAGACCAAAAGTTATTATGTGAGACTGATCGCCATTTGCCTTTTTCAGACAATATCTAATTTTTCATGCTTTAATACAGGCTAAAATGTAGTCCAATTGATTATTTATCATTTAATTAAAAGAACAAAACCAAAATATCAACGATATATAATCTCCCGGTATGGATTCAATTTATCATAACGTGCAAATACTGGAGTGTACCATTTTTCGACTGATATTCCTTTTAGAGATTAAACTTTCACCATATTGAAGTTTGCAAAATTTCTCAAATCATGATGAATTATTGAATAATCTGAATACAGCACAAATATATTGTATACATGCGCATAAATGATGACGCGGGACTCTATTGCGCCTGAAATTTAGTAAAAGTAAACAATTGATTTACTTATTTCATTAAATATAGTCTTCTCATTGTTTCGAAACAGATTTCTTGATATCAAATATGAAACAAGTACATGTACAAGGAATCTGAACATACAATCACTGTGTGCTTTCGTTTAACTTACAAATTACTTGATGGTGTCCAGCCAGCTCTAACTAAGTACTCGGACCATGGTAAAACTATACTTAATGGTTCTATAAGTTGATTCTCTATCACAGTATCAAGTATCTGAACAAAACAAAAACACACATGTAATACTTATTCTTTAAAACAAAAAATGTCACTAAAATTATCATGCATGAATTGGATCATTTCGGGATGAAATGAACTAATCTATTTTTGATATCATTTATAACTTCTGTTGAATTCTATTCATAATATAATTTACCATAGAATACAGTGCCTCATTTCATATTTGCTTTTATTTTATCTGATAAATTACAACAGACAATGATATTTCAGAATCACTTCCATGTTAAAATTGATTAATAGTAACAAGAATTATCACAATTGGAACAATGAGACTGACAAAATAAAATCTGAACTCACTATGCCATCTTTATCCACCTCAAATTCTACTATTTTCAGACTACTTTTAGCATTTGCGGTTCCTGAAGAAAATAATTTGTATAATATTTCAAAATATTTGTAAACAATGTGCAATTTTTGTATACCACTGACCTCAAAAGATCTAATTGTGATATTATTGATAAAATATTGAGAACACAGTATGTTCTCATGTTAAAATAAGCGCAAAACAGTTCAGCATGTTTTGATGACTTGAGCAATAACTCTGCATAATACTGATGCAAAATTCTGAATTTTGATACGACTAGTTTGAAAATCCCAGCAAGGCAATAAATCTGCATAAAATTGATATGCATGTCTTAATTTTGTTACGGTAAAAAGAATCTTAAAAACTCTGCACTGCAGAGCATATAGAAGGTTTTGGTGGCAAGGCCAACAACTTTGTATAGAATTGCTGCATGATTATGTTTTGATAGAGATCCTCCTAACTGTGAACTGTGAATAGATAGATTGGAATGGGTGACAACAATACTCCTACATAAAATATTGGATTATAAAAATAAATTTTACCTGCTCTAGGATATCTATATTCATCTATTCCGTGATCATCTGTTGATGGAGCAAATAGATTTAATACATCCACATCTGATTCATCAACTTCTTCATATAATATCTGATATGTACTAATATCATCTAAATAACATAGAGGAAAACAAATACCCTTTTGATTAAACCACATAATGACATTTCTTACATCTTTTCAATACAATGAATAATGGGACTCTCTTACACTAATTTAGGATTTGAGTCCAGGAAACAAATCTTGGCCTAAGTTAGAACTTATGTAAGACACAAACAAGGTTTTCAGGAATTTTCACAGTAACTAATTTTATTATTTTTAATGTTTTCTATGTCAGTCCTGCTCCCTCTGCACCATCAAAGAAGATGGAGAATGATACTTTAGAGGCATTTAGTAACAGGACAGAGCAATACACCATAACACATACTTACTGGTGAACAATTACTAAATATGAAAATGTCACCCAAATAATTCAGTAATTGTTTTTCTGTACTTATTGTAAACAAGCCATCAGTGAGGCTGATGTCCCAAAATAAATAGATGACACATGTTAATTAATCGCACATTTATTTTTTTCAAAAGTATCAAGCAATCAAACTATACACTAAGTTTCATCACTCTCTATCAGATAGAATCAAGATTATCTTGTCCCAAAGTATCGACCAATGAAATTGATTAGCTCTGTTTAGTTTCAGCTCGAAATGTTAATCATTGAACTCAGTCAAGACATTCACCTAATGAACATCTACATCAAGTTTAAATATTCTACCTCAATTAAAAGCAACGTTGTTATGTTCCAAAGTCTTGACCAATCAAATTGCTTATCGCTCCTTAGCCTAAGCAGAAAATTCTGACCATCGAACTTAGTCAAGGTAATGATATAATGAATCTATATTCAGAGTTTCATCGCTCTCACTTCATTATAACCTCAGTTATCGTGCCCCAAAGCATCAACCAATCAAATTACTTATCTCTGCTTACCCTAAGCAGAAAATGCTCATAATGCTCATCTTCAAACTCCATCAAGGCATTGACCTAATAAACACCTACACCAAGTTTGAACATTCTAGCTCAATTAGAAGGAGAGTTGTGTTCCAAAGTCTCAACCAGGGCTCACAATGGCTTTCAAATTTTTTCCGCCAAAATGAATAATAATTTTTATATAGCTCAATTAGAGAGTTATTGTGTCCCAAAATGTGTGACGGACAGACAGACGGAGGGACAGACAAACCCATTTTAATAGTCCCCTGCTTTCTTCGAAAGGCGGGGAACAATAACAATGCTATGGTGACAATGGTCACATAATTTATGTTCTGTGTAAGCAGTACACTGATCGATTAATTTAAGCACCTCTTGTAAGCAACATTTAATTAATTTAAATGAATTAATTGGAAATATTAAATAAGGAAATTCAATCACTGCATCATTCCCACAAATGCATTTCCCCAACAAAAGCATATTTTAAGTGTTACAAGTGATATATTCATAATTCATGATTGAAAATTCTATTGAAGATATGCCCACATTTTGCAAGAGATGGAAAGAGAACAAGCTAAAAAAAAAATGTGATTTTTTGTACAATCAGGGGCCATAATCCAGTAAGTTACGCTCCGATATGCACGAATATCGAAAGGAACAGAGATATTTTGGATATAAACATATATTTTAAGTTTCATCAAGATCGGATAAAAATTGTGACTTCTACCGGGTCCACAACCTTGGTATTACATATTTTTACACTACTTGCATACAAGTAACAACCATTTTGTCAGACAGTTTCGGTCCAATTTTCACGAAATTTTGAATCGGATAAAAATTGTGACTTCTAGAGGTTCCACAAGCTAAAAAACACGATTTTTTGTACAATCAGGGGCCATAAAAGGGGAAGTTAAGGTGCGATATGCCTGAATATTCATAGGAAGTTTCATCAAAATCTAATAAAAATTGTGACTTCTAGAGGGTCCACAACCTTGGTATTACATACTTTAACACTATTTGGGAACGAGGAGTGGCCATTTTGTCCGGCAAGTTTGGTCCGATTTTCATGAAATTCGAACTCAACTGTCATTATGGTGTAACGGTGATATATTCAAACGTTTTCTTTTTTAAATTGGATAACAATTGTGACCTCTCTCTAGAGGTACCATAAACTAAAAATGTGATTTTTCGTACAATATCGAAAGGAACTAAGATCTTTGGGTTATAAACATACATTTCTAGTTTCATCTAAATCACATGAAAATTGTGACCAGCTAAAAACCTGATTTTTTTGTACAATCAGGTGCCATAATCGATGAAGTTACTGTCAGATACATGCCAATTTCGAAAGGAATCAAGATCTTTGGGTGATAGATATATACTTTAAGTTTCATCAAAATCGGATACAAATCTACTAATTACCTGAAGTAGAGGGTAGTTTGGATGGCCTCCACCAGTAACCTGTATGTCTGTCAAATTCTTCCTGTATCACAAAGGATGGTACACCAGCACTTAAAGGATCTGTTGATAACTGTCCAGTTCCTAATTGATATAAATAATGAATAGAACTCTTTATTGAAATACATACATGTTTATTGCAGAAATTAAATATAATGATATTTTTAAATCAAAATTACTACGTTGATCAAATAATATCATTAATCTGGATCAAAAAAACAAACATTTCTTTTCTAAATGAACTGACATTAACATCCTTTCATCAGAATTTATTGCTAAGCATGCTTTTGTACTTACTTTTAGCCATATACATTCCTAATTGTTCACTTATAGTACATTACAATATTCTATATACCTCCTCTTTTGTGCATGACAGCACTATCCGCTACAAATTGTCATCAAAGATTACTTCAGAAATATAAACATGCAAGCTAAATTTCTATAGTTTAAACATGATTGTTTGCGTTAAACAAAGAAAGGGGTTTTACTTTCTCTTTTTTTTTGACAAACAAAACATCAGACATGTAGAATATGACCTTACTGTACATTCTCATTCTTACCCTTGTGTGCAAATGTCAATCTTTTTTCTGAGCCACTGGTGAGATGGGTTACCCATATATCATTGTCATGTATGAATGCCACTAAGTCTGTATTAGCTGGACATAATTTAGGATCTAATCTAGCACCACGACAATAACTGTTGATCGATGTAGGCACCACACAACTTGTCTACCAAATTAAAACATGAGAAACATATTAGCAAGTTACTTGTGACCAGATTTTGAATTTTAAACAACACCAACGAAGATAAAGAGAGAGAAATGGGTTTAATGTCCACTTGATACAAACTAGGTCATTTCGAGACTAACATATGGTTCAATTTTACTTAATTCATTTGCTTGCGCATAGGGGTCTTTAGAAGTGGGAGGAAACCTAAGGAAACCATTCACAGAAGAAAGGACACTAGCTTCTCTACACCTTTTTCATATTAAATTCATCGCTGTCTTACTTCATAAATCACCAAAATTAGGTGCTCGATTTGAACAATTTTTGTTGTGTGTACACTGTAGACAGGTATGAGGTGAAGATTGTTTTTGCAACCATGGATAAAAAAAATTGTCTCTTAAAACATCTAAGATACATTAAATCAACTTCAATAATTGGTTATGCGAGTGTAGAAATAATGAGATGAAGTAAATAATGGTGCAGCTGTTACAATATACTGGGTCTGGGTAGGACTTTATGCTGCGATCAATGATCAAATACCTCTGGAATATTCTGTTTTTTTATAACTAAGTTTATATATAAAATACAACATCTAGGATAGTACATTAGAAGTTATAATATCTACCATCTCAGTTTGGCAAGCCTACTAAGAACTCAGACCTAACGGCTGAAACACTACATGTTGTCTCTATCTCGGACTCTAAGCTGAGGAGCTATGATGTTCCCCTAGGAACTCTGAATGATATCTCAAAACTTAAACCCTCCAAGTTCCTTATAAAGAGGATATGTGCATGAGTCATGTATGTCCCCCCGGAAATTGGCCAGGTGCTTTCTTTGTCTGATTGGACAGTTGCACAGAAGCTACCCTGGATTTGAACACAGTGATCTAATATGGGCACTAAGGAGGAAGAGTGGACGACAGGTGACCACTTTTCTAAACCGTGGGATTCCATATTTGGATAAGTGTTTCATTAACCCTATGTTTATAAAAGATGAGCTAATTTGTACTCAGAGACCTCCGATCCGATGTCTTATCGTAATGTACATTTAACACCTCGAGATAAATGGTGGCAGGGACATCATTAACGTAAGAGGATATCATTTAACCATTTCAAATTATTACAGAAAACTGAAATTACTGAAATTTAGAGTACTGAAATAACCTCTACAGTGTATATAGTATTACACAGCTACATGTTTATGACTAACAATAAAATATAAGAATTACTATAGATTTTATATTATTAATTCAATCATGTAATTGCTCTGTAAAAACTAAACATTGAAATCTTAAAGTAGCCATATCTAAATTCATAATGTTCATATAATGAAAATATACTATTCAAAAACAGTAGGGGATATTTGATTTTTAAGTGTTATTAAAGTCACCTAATGAAACTGACGAAGAAACAAATGACAAAATGAAATGAAGTTCACATTCATCGATTTATTCCAAATGATCGTTAGACTAAGTAAGGCACAGACTGACCATTATAAGGGTAAAATGATACCTGGGGTCAAACAGCAAAGTTACCACAGCATCACAACCAAGTCAGTAACGGGTAAATCCTCCTCTGTTTGCCAAACAAGCATTGATCCGACGTGGCATACTCCTAATGAGACGTCTAAGGTCATTTTGGTCCAGATTGTCCCATTCCTGTTGCAACGCAGCAGCAAGTTCTTGGACATTGGCAGGACGTTGTTGACGTTGACGTAACCTCTGTCCAAGCATGTCCCAGACATGCTCGATGGGGGAGAGGTCGGGACTCAGTGCTGGCCAAGGTAATGTGGTGATGTTCTGTTGTTGGAGGTAACCTGTAACGATCCTGGCCCTGTGACATCTTGCGTTGTCATCCTGGAAGATGAAACGGCGGCCATGACGTCGTGCGAACGGCACAACATGGACTGCCAAGATGTTGTCCCGGTAGTACTGGCCTGTAACACGCCCTGCAACAACATGTAAAGCCGTTCTTCCAGCAACAGTGATGCCTCCCCACACCATAACAGAACCACCCCCAAATCGATCATGTCTGATGACGTTAACGTCTTGGAAGCGCTCGTTTCGACGACGCCACACCCTCCTACGTCTGTCCAAAAAATCAACAGTGAACTATGACTCATCTGAAAACATCACATTGCTCCAGCGTCGATTATCCCAGTGTTGACGATCCCTACACCAACGACATCTTGCCTGAATGTGATGATCTCTCAAACAAGGGATCACGTGAGGACATTGGGCGCGAAGGTGACCCCTATGCAGTCGATTCCGAATTGTCTGGCCACTCACTCTCACACCAGTGTCTGTTTGAAGACGAGCGCTGATCTGATTTGCTGTGATGACACGATTTCTCAAGGCCAAGGTACGGATAAATCGATCCTGGGCTTGAGTTGTCGCCCTTGGTCGACCTGAGCGTGGTCTGTCCTGTACAGATTGTGTATCACGGTATCTGGACCATAGCCTGCTTATGACAGACTGAGAAACATTCATCGTCCGCGCCACAACCGCCTGTGTTGTGCCGATCTGTAGCATGCCAAGGGCACGTAACCTTTCATTTTGGGTAAGCCGACGCATATCAAAATTTGTTTTCTGGTCACTAAAACAATTAAACTGATGTTTCCACCCTGGAATTCAATGCCACAATGACTGTAACATTCAAAGTCAGAGTCGTGCAAATCTTGGGTTGGACCCCCATGATGATCCCAAGCATCACCTGCATTCCATGCGGTAGCTATTGGTGCGTTTGGGCGTCACATGTAACTGGAAATGTTTCTTCTGTTAGGTTCTATAGTGACTTTTTTCGTAGTCATTTGCATATTTTAGTATTATGCCCCCAAAATCAAATATCCCCTACTTTTTTTGAATAGTCTAGTTAAAATAAATGTTTCGTAAATTGGAGCAATAATTGACAGCCACCCACCGTTCTCGATAGTGCTTTTCTTGGGCTGTCCAATTGATTTATACCAAAATTTTTACCAAGGCCTAATCACCAATATTGATGAACATGATACCTACCATTGGATCTCTATCATGACAAACGTATAGATTATTATTGGTTGGAAAAAGAAATTTTCCAACAGTCTCGTCTACTTCATACGATGTTATACCATAAATCACCAATCGTTTTCTTTCTCTCATTAACTGCTCTTCACGAGACAATTGTCCAATCCCTGAAGAAGACTGAAATGCGTCTAACAAATGATTCCAGTCCAAAACTGTTGGAGTAAAATTAGCATTATTAGTTTCTTCCACACTTGGTACATCTACATACAACAGTGTATTTTCCCTTCCTTTACTAGGAACACCAAGGAAATAAATTCTAGTTTTATGTCCAGTCGATGTTTCTATGTTCCGAAATGTAAATGATGACGGAACGGTGCTCACAAGAGTCGTCAGAATTTTTCTAGACTCTCTAACACATCTTCGCAGCTCTTCCCATGTTTTTTTTCCACCATTATTTGATCTTGATGGGGATCCAACCACACCATCAAAAGTAGCGTCCAGAGTTACCTCTGAAGCCATTGCAACAGAACCTGAAAAAGTAAAAGGTAAAAAGTATAGAAACAATTAGGAAAATGGTTCATTGATTAACTATTTTCAAAGTCAAGTACAACATAATTTTATATGCTTCATATTCTGCACGACTGGCTGAACAACAGTAGAGGATAGACACTGAAGATATGTTTCTACATTCATCACAATATGTTTCAATTGATTTTGCCGATAGATTTGCTTACGTAGTTGGAATCATCCAGCAAGAATGAGTGTAGAATGTCCACGGATTTACTGTATAACCATGACTGAGGGCTAAATAATCGGGATACTCTATAATTCTCAAGTTTTTTTTACTTGTATTAGCCTATCTATATAAATTTGATTTGGCAGAATGTCAGCCTTAATCAAAGGCAGTTGGCAAAGGTGTAAGCTTATCTATTTTGTTTCTCTCCTCCAGGTCCATGCTTTTTGGAACACATGGTACCCACCTACCACTGATAAGCTCCACAGACCCTCCAGAAATTGAGTTTGAAGGATCCAAAGTTTTCTTTATTTCCTTGCTCTCATGAGAGCTTCTTTAATTTTGTATGTTTGATCATCAAAACTCAGCTTTCACCATCTACCGTGAATAAGAGATGCATTCTGAATTTTTGATGCTGTGATACTTAAATTTGTGAAGAAAATTATGGAAATTGACTTTAAGAAACTAAAGATAACTCAAAGTTTAGTGGTGAGGGTTTAAAATTGTTTATTGAATTGAAATCTCCTGACAGATGGCTCAGAACTAGTTTCCTTAGGAACTGTCTCTGATTGGACGATGTTCGCTGACAGTTCCTTTTCCTTCCGATATAGCTGCAGCCTGCAATATGAAAATATGGTAAAATACCGCTCTTCCCCACCTCTGTTCTCAGGCTATTTTGGAAGACTTACCTTCTATTTTTCACTATGATTTTTTATTTTTGACAAAAGAAATCATTTCTCAACATAACTGAGACAAATTTATAAAAATTCAATACTATTTTCAAGTAGAATTTAGCAATTAAATAAACATGCGGTATGCGCATGTTCAAGTCTTGTAATCGCTGATCAGTTCAAACGTATTTTGTGTATGTTTTTAATCGCAAAATTCTACTTGAAAATAGAGTTGATTTCTCATAAATGTGTGTCAGCTGTGGCAAGAAATGATTCCTTTGGCAAACAAAGAAGAATCACGGTGAAAAATAGTTGATAAGGATTCCAAAATAGCCTTAGACTAGTTAAACAGGAGGTGAAGATGAGTGGGGTTTTTTTTTTCATATTAATATAATTATAGCTATATAGAAAGGGATAGGAACTAGCTCAGAACCATTCATTACCAGTGACAGTGGAATGTAACACATGATGGATAGGCTATTATTATAGGGACCATGCCCATGCCATGACCATGGACCGCATGGTAATTAATAGCCTATAGGATAGGCCCCCTAGCCGAACACATTCAGACTGGTGGGTAGATTCTGGTATCTAACTCTATATTTTATATGTAATAATAATTTGTGACATACAATTCAGTGACAGCCACTGGAAGACCAGCCACTTTCTTTGACAGTGGCTATAGCCCTGCTTTGATCAATTTGATGACGGACAGCTGTGTGAATTAAGTGACAGTTCACAGTTTACTCAACCCGGCCCAGGTGGGTGCGTTTCCACCAAGGATTTGGAACCTTCTCGTTTACTGTTGAGTTCTTGTGCAATTAGCATGGGCGCATAATAACAGAGACTTGGTGGCTGTATTTTAGTTGTTAGGTCTTCACCAAAATAGTGACTGAATATGTCCTACGTTTAGTTTGTCTGACTTGAAAGAACTTTGCAAATCTTTTCCCTGTTGACGGATTCCATGGCGCATAGGTCACTTCCGGTTGACATGACCTTTAGTCGATAACAAATTATCTATCAAAACCACATGAGCAGATTAACATCATATAGGAAAGTTACGTTATGTCCGGATCAGAAGTAATAAAGTGATGCAATCAACTACACTAGTTTAAGTTAACTGTCAATAGTGAATAAATCCATATAAATAACGGGTTAGTTTAATTTCATAAATAGGGTTGCTGGGACACAACTCCAAATAAAATTACTGGGATCAGACCACAATTTATTTCTTCACTTGTCCGGAATATAAATGAAATTTAACGCCCTGGGATGGCCTTGTGGTCTAGAGTGCCGCGCTTCGACCTCTAGGTGGCCGGTCACCTCTGGCTTGCGGCTGGCTTTCGATCCCTGGTGTGAGCGTCAGCCCTTTAGCCAGCTTGCTAGCTTCGGAGGGGCAGTGAAGTTTAGGGGGGGGGGGGCACACCCGGCACAGTCTACAGTAGGTATTTTACACTGTACAGCTATGGTCGGCAAATTTTTTTTCGGGGGGGGGGGGGGGGGGCAAAACATTTTTTCCTAACTACGGGTCTGGTGAGCGTATGTGGCTTGGAGATGGGAGCGCCTTCTCAACCTCCGGGTACTCCGGTTTCTGAATTCCCACAGGAAAGACCCCTGCGCGTGCGCTAAGATAATAAAAAAAAAAAATAAGACTTGTCTTCGATATCACCTTCGGTGGACGTTAAACCCTAAGAACAACAACAACAAAAACTATTGTTCTGCTCCGACTGGACTAATGAAGACGGGTCCAGGGTTACGAGATTCCATTGAAGAAACGGGGACAATTTTTATTATGATAAGACAAACGCAAAATTGAGCACAGAACGCCCGAAAACCAAAAAATATTGAGCGCCGAAGTCGCGAATTTGCTGGGGCGGGGGGGGGGGGGGAGTAGTCATGTTTGCAATGTCGAAGACTGTAGATGATATTGAGTTAATTGATTGACAAGCAATGAACTAATCACAGTGTAGTTTGATTTGTGACTCTTCTTGAAGATCAAAATTTGGTCAGTATTTAAATTAACACCCATGGTAATCGGCCCCCGCCTTTCGAAGAAAGCAGGGGACTAGCCCGGTCGGATCAAAACAATCGGACGTTAAATTCCATTTCAATTCACTTCAATTTTTTATTTCCTACATACCATTTTAAACACCATAGTACACGCAATACACCGTAAACTATCTTACTACATAAACCATGTTTAAAAACATTAGGGTAAACTTATGACAACGTAAACTGTCCTACATAAGCCATTTTAAACACTTAAAACTACGTAAACTGCCCTACATAAACCATTTATAACAATGTAAACTGTCCTACATATAAACAATTTTAAACATTAGAGTAAACTCAAAACTTCGTAAACTGTCGTACATAAAACATTTTAAAGTGGTAAGACTCTATTCTCTGAAACCTTAAATGGGCCTAATAGCAGATATTAATGTTATATGAATGTATGTAAAGTGATTTATATTCAATTTTTAAAAAAGAATATTGTAATTTCAAATCAAGTATGTTCGGTGAAATTTATAATTTCAAATAGAATAAAGTAATTTTCAATATATTCAAATCTCATTATCGATTTTTAAACTATCACAGTACGGAAAGCCAGCTCTTTAACTAAATCTTACATAATGAAACCAAAAAGTCAAGCAAAATATTGGTCCGAATGGTCTTGGTCCGAAAAATCTTCTGTTTTGCTCTGAATAGTCTATTAATTGGTCAGATTTGGTTTTCTGTTTTGGTCCGAGTGGTCTATTAATTGGTCCGGCTGGTCTTTGTCCGCGTAGTCTTCTGTTTTGGTCCGAGCGGTCCATTAATTGGTCTGAGTTGTCTGGATACATTAGAAATAAAGTGGATCTTGACCACGTAATATGCATGAATTTATTTGGTTTCTATTCATTTCGCGCCGCCATTTTTATTTTTAGCTAAGTACCTAAAGTAATAACAATTATGATGTCAGTTTTCGTACAAGCCAGCCAATAGTTCATGAAGGATTTTTTATTTATTTGTAGAGACATAAAAAAACATACTTTATTGTTGGGACATAAGAAAACATATTGTATTGTCGGGATAACAAAATATATTGTATTGCTGGGACATAACAAAATATATTGTATTTTTGGGGCATAACAAAACATGTTTTATTGTTGGGACATAACAATAATTCAAAGTCCTACTAATTTGCATCATGTTGAATTTCTGTTTAAAGTTGTTATTTCTTCATGATGGAATTTCTTCATCAACTCAGACTGTATAAAATACAATCATTGAAAACCACAAGGCGTGTCTGTGTTGGATCAAGTGGAGTAAGGTGTGTGTGTTTGGGTGGGGTGGGGGTTGGGTGGGGGTGGGGGGAGCTGTTCAATGTCTCATTGACACTTTTCTTGGAAGAGGGGGGGGGGGGAGTGTATTGGTGAACCAAACAAGGTTATTATTAACTTTTTTTTTTTTTAAACAATGCTTGTGACGAGCTTTCACCGAAGGCCATCATTTTTCTGCCGACATTCCTTTTACCTCGGTTACAGTTCCAATGTATCAAGCATAGTAATGTTGGGGTGGAGTGGGGGCTGACTTATAGCCGAAACCTAAGATCGAATTGATCAGCATGTATCTATAGTTACACATCACACATTACCGTTTTTATATCAGTTGTTTATACAAGACACAGAGAAGAATATATCATATACGTGTATGTATTGTGTGGGATCAGATCTGTTATTTTATTAGACAAGACACGGAGAAGAATATATCCTATATGGCGTGAGATCAGACCTGTTATTTATAGAAGACACAGAGAAGAATATATAGTCATAAATCACAAACTACACTTGTCACTGCAACATCTCGGGAACAAATTGCGCCTTATTGCAAATTATGTGCTCATTTATGCTACGGGTATTAACTGTATTAACAGTTTCAATAACGTATAATACAGAACAATAGATAATAATCCGAGATGTATATAAAGTGTTTTATTACAGCTTTTATAATTCTACAAATAGTCGACGCATTTATACCAGGCACAGATATGAAATATATCCTCTTGAACCAAGATAAAACAGGACCAATACCATTCAATGCGTTAACAAAATGTAACACTTATCATCAACTGATAACAGATTCAGAACTTCAACGTGATGCTGGAACGAAAATGTTCAAAATAGGAGATATTGATAGTTTGAATACGAGAACGTTTAAGAACAAATTCAAATTTGGGATCACGCTCTTTTTATAAAACTGTCAATATCATCACGCCAGGCTATTATAAAACAGAAATACAGATTTCCCCAAACATAAATAGATATGATCATTTTCTCCAACAAGACATACATTTTAACTCAAATCTTACCCGAAAACACGACCTGTTACGATAATAAATAATACATAGTCATTATTTATCTAACACAGATTATTATGTAATGTAGAACTAATCTGTATAGTTTATGTCAACGTCAACTTTTCAAACACGATTTGAATGTAGTTCTAAAGTAGTATTTTGTGAAAAAAAACAAAAAAACAAACAAACACAAAAAACATTGCTAACCGAAAAATAACCTATTGGTTTAAAGTCTTGGCCAATCAAATTGCTCTTGTCGCTCTGCTTACCCTGAGTAGAAAATGTACATTATCGAACTTAGTCAAGGTATTGATGTGATGAAACTATACAGCAAGTTTCATCACTCTCATATAATTAGAACTAAAGTTATCGTGTCCAAAAACATCAACAAATCAAATTGCTTATATCTACTTACCCGAAGCAGAAATGCTCATCTTCGAACTCCGTCAAGGCATCCACCATGATCCACCTAATAAACACGTACAGGGGGAGAGTTATTGTGTCCAAAAAAGTGTGACGGTCAGACAGACAGACTAGCATTTTAGGTGAACCCCCAAAAAACGCTCTATGACTGAGAACAAAGATAGCCACCTGGTCTTACTGTGGGAAAGCAAATTCTGGTATGAGTGAATGCGAGGCTGTGCGTATAGTATTGTGTAAAATGTGTGCAGGACAACCAACTCCAACTAAATTTTCACCAACTTCTAATTCCAGTTTAAGTTTGAGAACATATTTCCTGATTTTCGAGGAAGCCCTCCAAAATTAATGTTTGTATTGTCCCATCCGAAGGCTATACATTTTGAAGTTATGTTGTAATGTTTTAAAGAAGAAATTATGTATTGGCTAACGGTATCTGATGTCCTCCAGATTTAGAAGTTTGGATTGGTATCCATTAGTACGAGAAAAATATTGAACGATCAAAGCAATATCTTTGTGTAGCCATGATTGGGCGCGTCTGTTGATGTGCAAAAGAGGGCCCGTCATGTAATGCGTCTAATATTTCTGAAACTGAGTGGGGTGCTATTACATTATTTATCATGGCCCCAGTTTTCATTCTTGCTGACGTAAATTTCTTTGCTGTATCGGACTCCTTAAATAATTTAGATATGAGATTGGAAGTACAGTCCATTGATTTTAACTTTGATAATGCTTGAACATGTGGAACGCCATCGTATCCTCTGCTGCTAATATTCGTCTAGCTTCAGGGGCATAACTAGCAAAGGAGGTAAATAAAGATGCAGTTGTGTTAACATAAGATGCTGCCCGTTTACGCTTGGCTGATTTAAGATGATCAGTTAAATCAGCCTTTTCACCATAAGCAACAGAAATGCATGATCTAAAAAATAAAATAAGTGACTAATGAAAGGATCGAGAATGGGTCCGGTGTGTTGTAATTTGTGACTTAGCGCCGCACTACAGAAGTACCGTACTTGAACATCGACAAAGAGTGATTACAGAAGAGAATCGGGAATATTAGAAATTGTTAATGTAATTAACGAAAGAGATAATCTAGATGTAGGCTTATGTGTAGATCTTACGTTATTTCAGAAGATTTTAAGCACATTTTACATTCAGTTTCTGTTTCAAATCGTCCAGTTTGAAGGTCTCGCAAAAATTGTTTTTGCAGATCTTCGTTAAATTTACATTTAGGTATTTCAGTAATGCAGGTGTCACACTGTCCCGAAATTGAAATTGACATTCAAGCCCAATTAGGAGAGTTATTGTGTCCCAAAAAGTGTGAAGGACAGACCATAGAAAGATGGACAAACAGGAATAACAGCCAAATAAAATACGTGGATGTTTAAAAAAAGTTAAAAGGATTAGAAATATATATTTGATTGTCGTTAATGTGGGCTATGAAAATTGCTTTGTTCTGTAATTGGTACCTATTTTATGCCTAAAGACCTCAGATCTAATAATGAATACATACTTAATTTTAAACATACATGATGCAAGAGCTAAATCTGCCAATTGCACGTCTTTCTTTAGGCCTGAAATGTTATCTAAATTATTAATTAGACATTAATTAACTTATCCAAACCATAATCAACTCTATGTCATCACTAGCCTGCGATATTTTCTGGATTGAAATCCTATCTGCTGATTAACGTTCATTGATAATTAAATCAAAAAATGGATAATCGAGACTATGTTTTTTATCTTACAGATTTTAGTAATGATGATCGAGGCTAGACTCAAAATTCAATCGCTAAAACCTTAGTTCAGAGTGGATCACTTTGACTGAAATTTTCAGCAAATTCCCTTTACATTATCTAGTTTTTAACTATTATAGTGAAAACTGCCAGCTCTTTATCTAATCTCCCATAATGTATCTTTAAGTGAAGTGTGAGTAGCCATATAATATACTAAGCAGCAAAAGAAAGGTCAGGTTGGTATGTTACTCTGAATAGAGCATTGCATAAAACTTGCCAAATGTTTTTATTGTATATTTGTGACCAAATCTCCAACTTTACCTGAGCAATCAGGCTCCTTCCCAAACACAGAATTGAACCCAGGAAATGTTCTCAAAAACGCAACCTGACTTTTGAGATGGTACTGTGTTCTCCATGATTTTCATGTATCTTATGCTGCACGTGCTGTTCACCCGGACCAGCCCTATAAAATGCATCCTATACCTGGTTGAATCATTCACACTACAACGTCAATAGCATGCCACGAATCATGACAGCTCAGAGGAACCAGTGGCTTGGAAGACTCGACACTGGCCACATTTCCCAAGCTGTTGCCAATCACTTCCAAGTCAATGTTCGGACCATCTACAGGCTTCAGCAACGCTTTCGGGACACATTACTACACCACTGATGATCGCCCCCGATTTGGTAAACTAAGATCACCATGTTGTGCGCAGCACGTGCAGAATCCCTTCACACAGGCATCTGAGACAGCACGTCAGACAGTGGGAACACACGGAAGACCCATCAGTATTGATACAGGTCGCTGACGTCTCACCAGAGAGAACATCCATTGCTGTAGACCGATCCTCAACCCTCGCCGTCAACGTGAACGTCTACAATTTGCCCAAAAACACCAGAACTGGTGACACAGGCAATGGAGAACTGATCTGTTCACAGATGGGAGTCGATATTGCATATCAACTACAGAACCAGAACATGGCCAGCGTTATTCTGACCAGTGTGTCATGGAACGAGGCTATGGGGAGGTCCAAGCACAATGGTTTGGGGTGGAATCGGCTTGAACCAGAGAGTGGGTCCTGTGGTGTTCCAAAATCTTGGTCCATGTCATACCACATTTCGCACGTCATCGAAACAATCTTTTCCAGCATGACAATGCCGTGCCCACACCGCCGAGTTACTCGGGACTTTCTTCAGCAGAACGGTGTCAACGTTACGCACTGGCTAGCCCTTAGTCCAGACTTAAACCCGATTGAACATCTTTGGGATGAAATTCAGAGGAGACTTAATAACATCGTACCGATGTAATAACACAACCGATGGATTGCGCCAGGCTTTTCTGAGAGTGTGGTTCCAGGTGCCAATGGTGTTCATCAATCGTCTGGTCCACTCCATCTACAGACGCTGCACTGTTGTTATTGACACACACGGTGGACACACCGGATACTGATGTATAGACTGTGTACAGACTCTAAACCTTCTCGTAATGTCTTCGAATTGTGATGAATTAATCACTAATGTGTCAACATACTGTTCACAAAAAACTGCTTTGATCCATTTAGTAAGTCGTTTTCTAGAATGATTTGATTGAGGTGCCTCTCTGATCTTGAATTCGTACTGGTTTTTTTTTATTGTTTAGTGTATATATTTTCCTTAATGCTCAGATAATTTACTCAAAATTCATTCTAATGAAAATAATCATTACATAAAATTGTGTAGGTAAATAGGCATTTAACAGAAACTTCTTAACTTAGCAATATTTATATCCTGCTGTCTGTAAGTTTGGGTTTATACAGCTGACAACTATCTATTATTTATGTTATATATGTTTCTTGAAAGTCAATACAAAATTTGGGAATGTAAGAATAAAGGTGTGTTTTGAAACGAAAAAATATTATTTTCTTAAAAAATATTGATGTAATAAGCAAGAAACAGAAAGAGAAATCGGGTTTTAACATCCACTTGACACAAACCAGGTCATTCTGGGACTAACAGATGGTACTATTTTATTTCAGGGATCTTTAGCAGTTTCATGTACAAGCTTTATGCAGAAACCATGCTACTTGACTCAACCACCCCCCTTTCCCCGATTTAATACGCAGGGTATCTAAAACAGGATATATATATATATATATATATTTGTTATTTACTTCTATTTGGATACTTTCATTTTAATGAAGAATAAAGTTATCAATTATGGAACATTTCCCAGACAATTGCACAGCTATATACAATGCATATAACTAAAATCCATACAAATTACCTAAACACAAAATGATCAATTTTAAAGAATTTAAACAATTTATTTCCAATTTGTACAATAGGCATGAATAATTTCACAAATAAAATAATTCTATCAATATCTCAAGTTATGATATTGGTATTTATAGTTTTTCTGAAAATAAGATGACAAATCATTGAGAGGTGATAATAAACATAAACAAAAATGGGATTTATTTCTGCTATTCTTGATTCTGCAAAACTGAAAGTATGGTACATGGATTATAAGTTAATGTTGTGGGTTTTTTTTTTAACTTAATGACTTTCTCCCTTTTTCCCTGCCACCTGAAAATAAAAGAAAAAAACAATTTTTTTTATTTTATTAAATTCTAGAGATAATAAAACTGAAATGAACTCTTCGATTGATTAATAATACATGAATTTTCCAATCAAAAGGGAAAAGTGTTTAAGATTATTTCCCCAAGAATTTTAATGGGTCATATTCTTTTCCTATGGTGTCTTTTTTTACAATAATGTGAGAGATGAATTTGATTGAAACAGTACTTCACTTTCATTTCCTCACAGTGGCATTTGAATAATTTGCCACACATTCCTGACAAATGAACAGTTTTGAAATCCTGACAGATCTACTCAGCCCATTAAAAGGTACCATATCCATATCCCTAACAACATGCCGAACAGTCACTGCCTCTCCCAGTGCAGGAGAACCACACTACATGCAAAACAAAACTGACAAGACAAACCTGCAGACAAGACAAACTACATAGACAATGCAATAAACAAACAACAAATATCAAATCAAGTGAATGGATCCAGGCTTTAATCAAAATGAAAAAAACAATATGGCTCTTGTACAGTGTATCAGATGAAGCAAGACACTTGTAACAGGTGATATCTAAAGCTTTGGTCCACCTTTGTATACACAATGAGTTTTTGTTCATTTCTGTCATTCTTTTCAGTAATTAAAATATACTTACCCTCTTAAAATCAGACATATTTGTAGAACTAACAGGAGTACCTATAAAACCAATATAATCTACTTGTGTTACCACTCCACCTTCTTGGTTATCTTTTATAAATAACTGAAAAATACAAAACACCATTGATAAAATATATCATGAAAATTGTTATTAATGTTTTTACTCTATTTTTCAGGTTAGAAGATGATGTGATGTGGAATTGAGTTATATTTTATGATTTTTCTGACTTCCACCCATACTTAGACAAGTTAGTTGAAGCCGAGTATAACATGAATGATTGCCAAATTAATGATCAGTTTGCGGCACTGTTATCAATTGAATTCAAATTTCTTTCAGCAATTTTCTAGAACTGAATTTCAACCAACATCAATATATCCGAACAGTTGACTCTTTCTTTATATGGACACAGAATATGGTAACAAAATTGTAGAAGTTTGCATTTTACTTTTATCTATCCACGAATTAACGAATGAAATGGGGTTTAACATCCTACTTTTCTGCACCTAACAGGCTAATGGGAGAGGGAGAAATAGGGTTTAACCTCCACTCAACACAAACTAGGTCATTTCGGGACTAACACATGGTTCAATTTTATTTTAATAATTCGCTTGCGCGTAGGGTTCTTTAGCAGTGGGAGGAAACCGGAGGACCCGAAGAAAACCCACAAGGTTGGACAGGCGACCCTACTCCTTGTCACGTACAACCGGGGAATCGCAACCCCGCCAGTTGACTCACTGACAGACTGTATGATACAGCGCGCGCGTGCTAACCATTCGGCCATCCAACCCCCCACGTGCTAATGGAGACAGGCATAAGCTATAACCTGTGCTATGAGGGAAATTTTGCCCAGAAAGCAATTGGTTTTTTGTTCCATCTGAATGATTGGACACTATCCTTGCCAGGCCCTCCGTCCTGCATCATCGACATCATGAGGAACTTCGCAGCCAGCACTGGGATCAGGTTAGCGAGACAGTGCCATTACACACTGAGCCACTGCAGCTCCCATCTATATAAAAAGAAGATACAATAGAAATGAAATAAAACTTACTGTTAATGTTTGTACATTCTGAAATTTTACAAATCTTAGTGGTACAATTCCGTCAGCTAAGTCAGTTGGTGTAAGCCTGGATATAAAACAAACCATTAAAATATATGTTTATTTTGAAGATAAGAATTGTCTATTGCTCATTCAAACATTTTGAGAAAGTTCTCAACAAACGTCATAGATAAAACTCATAACAAATAACCACTTGAAAATAACCACGTACATGGAGTTTAAATGATCAAGGGCGATGTTAATAAAGATATTGTTTATTTTATTTATTTTAATATTCCAAGTACAGTAAAATCTTAACAACAACTCTTGTATACGACCATATTTTAAAAGAACCAATTTTTTTCTATATTCCTTATAATTACTAGTACGGATTACGAAAGATGAAGCCAGTCCCAATCAGTCAATTTTATTGTATTTCCAACTTGTGATAACAATCCAAGAATTAGTCTTCGAACTATGTAACACTTTTATTTATGGTATACTTACTCAATAATTTGAACTGGTGCCATGGACTCGGCCTGGTCAAAATCTAATGTCCTTGGCTGATTTATAAAAAGTTTAATACCTTTTGGTCCTTTATCTGAAATTTAATCAAAGAATTATAGTTAGTCTGTAAAATAAACAAATCTGTGTAAACATTAAATTGCATTGCTTGGAAAATGCTAAAAACTGTTTGTGGTCCACATATTTTACAATGCTGAAAATCTACAGTGATCATCCTCCCAATGCCAACGTTTACAGCAATATGAATCATCCTCTTATATATAATTTCCTTTTTATCTATTCCTTTTTTTTTCTTATTTGTTTTTTCAATATATTGTATATTATGTAATTTATTTGTAACCGGGAGAGGGGTTAATATAGGCCTTGCCTGTTCCCCAATCCCCTCAATTTCTGAATAAATATTGTTTAAAAAAAAAAAATCCTCTTATGACCTAATGCTTCACACCAAATTTGAAAATAATGTCCTCAGACCACACCAGTTTGATTTTCTGTCCGTCGGGGTCCTGATATATAAGTAGTCACACGAACTAAAAGCTTTTATACATCGCAACCAATTACTTTGGGATTTTAAATAAGATGTTTTTCTGAAGAAATAAGAAGAAACACTTTACTTACAGGTTTACCGAAGAACAGAAAATAAAATTGGTGTGGCCCCTCATCAATTTATATATCAATTCTGTACAAATTTGCAATAGTCCCTTTCTTCATTTATTTAGCCACCTTTACAGTTCTCGTAATACCATACCTTCCTTTGTAACCACACCCCCTGTATATGGGTATGAACTATCGTTTTCATGGCAGCACAAAATATATTAATACTAACTATGCTTCTGATGTTTTCTTGTTTTTTCTGATCTTTTTGTAAACATTTGGGTTCAAATTGATATAAATGTGGTGGTCATCAATAAAATTTATAAATATATTTCTAAAATAATAATGTGTATTCCTACCAGCTGGTCCATTTATTTTCATAGAATGAATCTTCACAGCTTGATTAAATGATAGTTGAATTATAAGCTATAAAATGAAAAAAAAACCCCAACAAAATACAAATTTAAAAGTAAATTTAAAGTGACACTTTCACAATCATTGATAAAATAATTATTTTCAATTTGCCTTGAGCATAATTAGAAAATTCAAAATTTAGGCAAAAAAATATACCCACTGCTTATAATTTATTTAATTTAGTGTCTTATTTCTAAAGTATGGCATAATTATATATTTATGTCTATATTTAGGCTAACCTGCTCATCGCAATCTGATTCAAGATAGCCTCCTTTTGAAGTCAAAGCATGTGTATACGGGTGGTCATCAGATTCGTTCAAGCATTCACATTCTGATTTGAGAAGAAAGGATGAAAGATCCATCTGAAAAAGTAATTATTTGAAAATAAATAACAATTTTGTGTATTAGAATAGCTTTATGAACAGTCTAGTCAAACAGGCATTATGCAAGAGCTAAATCTGCCTATCGCAGGTCTTTTTTTAGGCCTGAAATGTTAAATAAATTATTAATTAGACATTAATTAACTTACCAAGACCATAATCAACTCTCGATGCCATCGGATGGCTGCGATATAATTAGATTTAAATATGTTTTGTGGTTGATGTGGTTACCATAAAATGGATAATCGAGACTTTATTATGAAGCAACTGTAGTAATGAAAATAAAATGAAATGGGGTTTAACGTCCTACTGTTCTGCTCTGACTAGGCTAATGAAGACGGGCATACGCCATACAGTGTGCTGTGAGGGAAATTTTGCCCAGACAGTGGCGCTACGGCTTACTCTTTTGAATTCCCACTGCCAAGGGCTCCTTTACGTGCACATCAATGTGTCCACCGGACCATGGCTTGTCGTCCCATCTGAACAACTCAACAGTATCAAATGCAAAAAGCTACTTGAAAATGATTAGATTTGTCCTAACATTATGTTCAATTACCGTAGAAAATATAAATCATCTCTCCTTTTTTATGAACATTTACATACACTGTGACTTAGTTATTGTCTACATACATGTCCCTTAACTGGTGTAGCGTCATCATCTCCATCTTCATCACCATACCATGCTTTCACCTTTTCTTCTAGAGCGGCTGAATCTGACCCTCTTGATGTGTCTATTTTCACTTTATTTCGATAAAAAACAAATGTTGGCATTGCAGACACCCCCTGTGATGATGCTGCTTCCTAAAATGAACATTATTTGCTATACGATTTAAAGTGTCTGAGCAAGATATTCCTAGCACTGAAATAATGTCTTCCTGTTACTAAGTGATTTCTGTAACCATTTAGATTACCTTTGTGCTTTAAAAGGTAACCAATCAAAATAGCTTAAACTGAAGGAAACTGAAAGACATTTCCCTAAAACATAAGATTCATTAAATGGAAATGAGCATGAAACGATGAAACATTTATCTACTTGGTGTTAAAGCAAAATCAACAAGCCAACAGTGAGGCTGATGTCCCCCACCGAAATCCCAAAATAAATAGATGACACTTATACATTAATTGCACATTTATCTTTTCCAAAAGTATTGAGCAATCAAACTGTCCTGAATATCTATATTTAGTCTAAGCATATAATATTCACAATCAAACTGGTAGTGAAACTATACACTAAGTTTCATCACTCTCCATCAGTTAAAATCAAAGTTATCTTGTACCAAAGCATTGACCACTGAAATTGCTTAACTCTGCTTATCTTTAGCGGGAAATGTAAATTACTGAACTCAGTCAAGACATTCATCTAATCAACATCTACACCAAGTTTAATGATTCTACCTCAATTAAAAGCAGATATGTTATGTCTCAAAGTCATAACCCATCAAATTGCTTATTGCTACTTAGCCTAAGCAGAAAATGCTCATTATCGAACTTAGTCAAGGTATTGATGTAATGAAACTATACACCAAGTTTCATCACTCTAACTAAATTAGAACCCGGAACCAATTGTGTCCCAAAGCATCAGCCAATCAAATTAATTATCTCTGGTTACCCTAAGTAGAAAATGCACGTCTACACAAGGAGAGTTATTGTGTTCCAAAGTCTCGACCAATCAAATTGCTTAATGCTCTGATTACCCTGAGCAGAAAATGCTCATTATTGAACTTAGGCAAGGTATTGATGTAATGAAACTAACGGACGGACCCACTTTAATAGTACCCTGCTTTCTTCGAAAGGCGGGGGACAATAATATGTGTTGACCTTTCTCTGAGATGAAAATTATCGTTAAACTGACATTTACCCCATAAAATTTTCATACCAGCACTCTATAAATTTTACCATACATATGCTACCACTATAAAATTACTGCTGAAAAGCTATGAGTATGGGCAAAGTCTCCTATATTAGGCCTTATTTCTAAATTAGTTAATTATTTCTAAATTAAGATCAGACAGATTTGCATGTATTATTGCATAACATAGTTTCTATTTCTGAAATAAGACTATTATGCTTAGTGAAATAATAACTATGGCATCTTGTTTCTGAACTGGTAAAACCTACTTTGGGTATGTTCTAATTGTACAGCTTTTGTTCTGTCCCTGTTTTGTTGTGTAAGATTACTGGTAGTTATCCTACATTGTCTATTAGCTGTCATATAATAAAATTACCTGTGTAGGCTACTTACAGGACATTTGTCAACATCAACTTTCAAAAACACAGCTCTGGGATATTTAGTACTCAATTCTTCAAAAAATGGAGCTATTCTTTGACAAGGTCCACACCTTAATTAAAAAGAAGATAGGTTGCCAGGCAACGAAACATACGCCCACAGCAGCTAAATAGTCCAAGTGGTCGACAAGGGTTGTCGCATATTTATTCCTTTGTGGTAATAGGGGACCTTTACAAGACAGTTCCATACAGATCAGATTATAATTTTTGTCATTTGAGGGATAATAATAATAATAATAATAATGTCATTTATATTCACAAGGTTCTACAAACTGAAACAAGGGTCTCAGCTCTGGAGGTCATCTACAGAAATTGTTGAAATTGGACAGGCTTTTTTGTTTTACTAATTTAAATAATGCATATAAATTTCATACAGATCAGATGATCAATTTTGTCATTCAAGAGGTTCAATAGGATTGTTCTTTTTACTAACTGAAATGGCACATATAAATTTCATACAGACCGGCAGATAACTTTGTTTGAGGTTAGAGTGTTCACAAAGTGCAACAAAGAGAAACAAGGGCCATAACTTTAGAAGTAATAAACGGAAATTGCTGAAATTCAATAGCATTCTTCTCTTTACTAATTTAAATGATGCATGTAAATTTCATACAAATCGGTCGATAACTTTTGATGTTACTGTTAGAGCGTTCCCAAGGTGCAACAAAGTGAAACAAGGGCCATAACTCTAGAAATAATTGACGGAAATTGCTGAAATTCAATAGGCTTCTTCGTTTCACTAATTTAGATCATGAATATAAATTTCACAAAGATCGGAAGATAACTTTTGGCGTAATAGAGTTCACAAGGTTCAACAAAGTGAAACAAGGGCCAGAACTCTAGAAGTAATAAACGGAAATTCTAATATATATAAACGGAATTGACCCCTACCCCTCACTCACATATTAAAGTCGTGGCTATTTATTTATTAATATTTTAGAATAATTTTTTTTGCAGTTTGTTGAAAACATATTCTTCTTCACAAATCCATGTGCGCGTGTGAAAATTTCATTTTATAAATAATATTAAAAAGCTAATTATTTCATCAATTTGGCATATCTTGGTTTCTAATTGAGTTAGAAATCCAGTGCAAGTGATATATTAAAATTTAGCATTCCCTCTTTTTGATTGGACAAGAATTCTGGATCTCCCGTCTGTCACCATTAGCTACCGAAGGACTAAATATAGCATACAAAACTAGAAAGTGGAAAAAAAACTGTGTGCCATGAAATTTTAAGGTGAGAAAATCCATTGATATGTTGTATGCACTGTTCAACTGATAATTTCTCGGCATATAATTAATGTACCAAAATCTAAATACCGGTAACACCATTGAAAGGCTAATTCAATGCTGATTCATAACATATAAATCATTATAATTTTAAGTACAGACATCTGTTTACAAATTAGTGTATTGTAATGCGTGTCCTGATTTTTGACGTCATCAATGAAAATTAGCCACGATAACGTTACAGCATTCATAGCTATTTTGGAATCCTTACTGACTATTTTTCACCGTGATTCTTTCTTGTTCACCAAAAGGAATCATCTGACATAAATTTATAATAATTCAACACTATTATCAAGTAGAATTTTGCGATTAAAAAACATACACAAAATATTAAGACTACTCAAACATGTGCATAGCGCATGTTTTTTTAATCGCTAAATTGAAAATAGTGCTGAATTATTATAAATTTGTGTCAGATATGGTGTGAAAAATGGTTCTTTTTCGCGAAAAATAAAGAATCGCGGTGAAAAATATAAGGCAAGGAGAGCGATATTTTCAGCTATATAATATTATAATTATAGGGACGGATAGGAATTGTCAGCAGACAGCGTCCGATCAGAGACCATTCCTAAAGGAACTAGATGGCGAGGTTATCCAAGTCAGGAATGCTTCTGTAGGATTATGACTAGATAAGACAAGACTTAAGACAAGAATTTCCATGATGATGAAGCATAAAACTACATGTAAAAGGCGAATGACATGCTCTGATGCTGTGATATTGATGATAGGGTAGGTTGTTTTTGTCTTGCATTTTCTTACCATGTGGCAAAGAAATCAACAACGACTAGTTTAGGACCAGCAGAAGTTAATTCTGGTTGAAATTGGCTGTCTTCTAATATCTGTTTCACATTACCCGTCATTTTGTTTAAAAGAGTAATAAGCCCAAAACGTAAATTAATAAAAAATTGTATCCAAATCAAAATCAGGGGGAATAACTCTCATCAAAGCGGTTACCGGTACTGCAAAATATGAATCTGACATGATAAAACGGAACGAAAATTGGCAATACACATTAATATTTATGGAAAACCAACAAGCTCTTTATTCAGTGTCCTATATTCATCGTGCTTAATTATTATTTCTTCACTTGTTGTCGTATTTCGGCATTTGTATACTAAAGTTAACATTTTAGTCCGGGAGCCCGGTCTACAACACATATTTTACCCCTAGATCATTTTGGAAAGCCAAGTTTGTATGTCCATGGTTTTACAGGTCCATGGTTTTACAAATCACTACATTTCTCATATATATAGTCATATAATAATTGTATTTTAATGTACCGGTAATGATGAAATTTCATTTAGAAATCAGAAAATTGTCACTGCTGAAAATCCTGGATCCCTCCCAGCTTTAGGCCTATTTATCTAAGATGATAGCGATATAGTCCTGCATGTGGAATCAAAAGCCTACCTTTGATTGTGTATGGTCTGATTTTATGGAAGCCATGGTGGCTCAGTGTATAACTGGTATACTGGCTCACTAACCAGAGAGCCCAGGGTTTGATTCTGGTGTTGGTCCTGAAAGTTCCCTGTTTTGTCTTTTTTCAGCGTGATTTCCGGTTGTCAGTGTTGCGTGTCGGATGGCCTGACAAGGTCAATGTCTAATAGTTTGGATGGGACAAAAAACGAGGTCCAGTGTATACCTTGGTGTTGACGAAAAAGAACCCATGACAGTTGGAATTCAATTGCAGTCCAGGCCAAATTTTGCTCATAGCACACCGCATGTTGTATCTCTCACCTTTTTTTTCCCAGTTGGAACAAAAAAGTGGCATAGAAACTCGCATTTCATTCATTCTTTTATATTGTGTCCGCAGATTGCCGATAGTAATAGTAAATTAATAAAGATTCGTCAATTTGAAAATTATTTCCATTCTATGGCATCAAAGTTGACATTATTTTGCCATAGGATTTATTATTTTGGAAATTTACTGAATTATACGGAAGCGTAATAGGGCCACATATTTTTTTATTATTCTATTTTCAAGTTTCAAGTTACTAAATTGAATTTTCAAGTTACTAAATTGAATTTTCAAGTTACTAACTTGAATTTTCAAGTTAGCAAATTTGAATTTCCAAGTTACTAACTTGAATTTTCAAGATACTAACTTGAATTTTCAAGATACTAACTTGAATTTTCAAGTTACTAACTTGAATTTTCAAGATACTAACTTGAATTTTCTGGTAGCCTATATTTGTTTCAAGGCTGCTGTGTGGGCGTATTATCTTTTTTGTATGACCTTTTACTACCCGGAATTTTCAAGTTATTGACTTACAGGCTTTAAAATTTAGAAAAGAATAAATTAATGGCCATATTACGCTTCCGTAGAATTAATAGAGGGCGAAAGAGTATTGCGTTAATACTCAGCTCTGATAAAAAAAAAAAAAAATGTCTTCTGTTCATAAACTGGCAGTATTGACCTAAATAAATGAATGAGTGAATGTTGTTTATAGCACGTCGACACCGTAAATCATGTCAATCTACGTGTTATCGCCGATAATCTGCTTATGTTTTGGGAGTACCCCTAAGTGATCGGATAGGATGCCCCCACACCTTGTCACTAAGATAGCAGAGTATGGGACTCGAACCCTCGACACCATTGATGGCAGACCAAGGCGTAGCCTATCGCCCACCCGACCCTCTCCCCAAGAGTCGCCTTCTAGGACACGCGAGGAATGGGGCGATCCGATGGACACATTCTACTATCTAACTCTGTACTATTGACCTGTAAAATAATGCACTGTAAAAAAATTATATTTATTTTACATTGTTTCTTGAAGTACCTCGTAACGTCCAGGGTTCTAAAGGGTGGGGGGGATGGCAGAGATGTCCTAGGGGGCAAATGTTCCAGAGAAATAATGTCCGGGGGGAGGGGGAGGGGGGAACTCTGGGGTAGATGTCCTTAGGAAGGTGGGGGTAGATGTCCCAGGGGGGCAAATGTCCGCTTAGTAAAAGTCCGGGGGTAGATGTCCTAGGAGGGAAGATGTCTTCAGGAGGAAATGTCCTGGGGGTAAAAGTCCTAAAAGTGTGTGTGTGTGTGGGGGGGGGGGTATCCGGGGGCAGATGTCCGGCGGGCGAGATATCCAGGTGGGGTGGGGGGGGAATGTCGTGACGTCAATAAAGACTATTTTTAGAACATTTAATTTTTTTTGCACTTCAAAAAGGGTTTCTATAGGGCTCAAAACTGTTCAAATGAATGAATGGTGTTTTATGGCACGTCGACACCGTAATAATCTGGTCAATTTGCGCCAATCTATGTGCTATCGGAGATGATTTGCCTAATGCGCGGGGAGTAAATTCGCTGCAGGGGGAAACCGGACTACCCGGAGGAAACCTGCGTGATGGAATAGGCTACTCCCGCACCTTGTCATTGAGGTCGGCGAGAACGGGATTCGTACCTCGAACCCATTGATGACAGACCGACCACCCGACCACACTCTAAACTGTTGGACTAGTAAAATAGAATTTAATGAGATGATTTAAACTAAAGGCAGAACACTAACACATTTAGAACTTAGAATAAGGCCTTTTTTGATCCAGCGAGAGTGGAATTGTCCAATTTAGTATCTTGAAAATTCAAGTTAGTATCTTGAAAATTCAAGTTAGTATCTTGAAAATTCAAGTTAGTATCTTGAAAATTCAAATTAGCTAACTTGAAAAATTGAAAATAGAATAATAAAAAAAATATGTGGCCCTATTACGCTTCCGTAGAATTATACCAAAGGAGGTATAAATTATTAGTCTTAGTTTTATTTATTGAACGTTTTTGCCGGTTAGCATATTCAAGGCCAATATGCAAACCATCACCACAAACTCTATTGACATTTAATCTGTCACCAGGTAACTTCCTTGGCCTGGCTTAATTTAAAGTGTATCTTGGTCGTCTTCTCATTCTTGGGGGTTGTCACTCTACTTTCAATTCTACCCCCCTACGCCTCCCCTCATTAGGGAACAGAATCGAATGAAACTTGGCAGGTACCCTTTGTAAGGAATACCAGTTCTTTTTGATGTTTGTTTTTCTTTACTCATGGGACATCTACCATGTGCCACAGAACTCAAATTTTCCCGATCCTCCCCCCCCCCTCTTAAAGTGTAAAGTGCCCAACTTTGGTCTGCCTACCCTTATCCGGAGGGCCTAACACGCCCTTGACTCATAGATGAAGTTAATCATGACTTCACATCAAGTTTTACTCTGTCCTAAATTTTCTGCCATTGAAAATGGTATCTCCGCTCATTATTGAACTTAGGCCAGGGATCTTAATCGGCTCATTATTGTCGGCCTCCAGTACCCGTTATTTTTCCGTCATTTTCGGAATTATGGTTATCAAATGGTTCACTGCATATCTGACAAACGGGCAATATGGTATTCATCTGTGTCTCAACATTTAAATTATTTGTGAAATAAATTCGCCACGTGCTTCAATGGGTTTAGTCATCTTGGCTCAATTTTCGAGGTTGGTGATCGAAATTGGACACGCCCACGATGCTGCGTCCACAGTGGGCTGAGAGTGGCCTCTTTCGTCATGCCTGCTACGCTTCTTCCGTAGTAAGCAGTGGTCGGCCAGGGAGTCTAAATGAAATTTAGTTGATGCTTGATGAATGCCATCGTATTAGATCTGAGGCAAACTCAACTACTCTTAATTTCCAAAATGTCCAGCTTCCAGATGAGACCAAAGCATATACCAAGTTCCGAAACTTGTAAGTGTCTTTTAAGAAAAGTTTGTACCCAACATAGGCCGCGGGAACCCCAGATACTACAAGAACTTAACATAGATGGTTCTTGGTCCATGACAACAGGTGACAATCCACAACCTTTCTTACTGCATGACATGATGGCAATGGCCCAGCAAAAAGATGTAAGAAAGTGTATATAGACCTTCAGAAGCCTCTTCGTAATAACCTTTGTGAAGACAGAACATCTGGTAACAAGACCTTGGCAGAGTTCTTTAGAGGTGTAAGCTACAACATTCGTTGTGGTCAACCAGACATTTAGACATTTTAAACTTATTAACTTGCTTGTGATTTATAAGACTCTTTGTTTTGTAATAGTTATTGTGTAATGTGCAAAAATACAAGTTATCTAACTTCATCTTTAGTGCTTGAATGTTGTTATTCTATGAAATATGTAGTGCTTAATGAAATAAAAATATATCTGATTACTTATTTTCTTTTATTTAAAAAAAAAAAATATTTGTCACAGTAAAAAACAAACAAATAAAACCCCCAAAATACGGTACACAGCAAAGAAAAAATCTGTAGGAGAAAACAAACAAATAAATCTGGCCAAAACGTCCTCTTTCTTTAAAAAAAACCCAATATCATCGCTAACGCTGTAATATACGTCTACATTCCTGCTTTGATTGATTGATATGGTACTTTTTAAAATGAAGAGAATGAAATATGAAATGGCTGTAATATGACAAAAGGCAAAGACGGCTAGGCGTTTGGTTTGTTTTGCCAAATTTACAGACAAAATATTAACAAAAAAGTGGGTGTGACAATGCCCCAGTCGGTCGGGCTTGCACCAAAATAAATAATTGCCGTCTTTACAGTATAAGGAATAAATATGCAAAGTTCCAAGATGATCCATTCAGAATTACAGCCTGTAGACAATAAATACATAAATTGGGCGTGGCTCTGCCCCTGGGGGTTGGATATGGAACAATATAAATAGGTACCACCCTGTTATTGAAATGATTGATATGCTGAATTTGAACAAAATCTGTTAATTATTGCAACCTGTAAAGTATTTACCGATAAAAACTAACAAAATAATGGGTGTGGTACCACACCTCTGGGGGTCGGGACATGCACCAACAATTGGACGTGGCTCTGCCCCTGGGGGTTGGATATGGAACAATGTAAATAGGTACCACCCTGTTATTTAAATGATTGATATGCTGAATTTGAACAAAATCTGTTAATTATTGTAACCTGTAAAGTATTTACCGATAAAAAATAATAAAAAAGTGGGTGTGGTACCACACCCCTGGGGGTCGGGACATGCACCAAAAGACATAGTTGCTATCCTTACAGTATAAGGAATAGATATGCCAAGTTCCAAGATGATCCATTTAGAAATCCTGCCTGTAAACAAATAACACAAAAATTGGACATGGCTCTGCCACTGTGTGTTGGACATGGACCAATATATACTCTTCCAAAAAAGTAGGAGATATTCAGATGCAAATACCTATGCAGGTTGTGATATGATAAATAGTCATGGACACTTGACATGCTTTGAGAGTATGTTCACAGATGAAGACCTTATCGCCCCAACAGAACTACTGAGCTACACATGCGACACGCAATAGCGCCATACACGTGGGAGGGGTTCATTGTCAAATTTGACACTTAAAGGAAGGGTTAATAATAACTGCCATGTGCTGGTTTATCCTATCCATGTTTGCTTTCCTATCGGTTCTTGCATAAGATTTACCGTTTGGAGTATCTTTGCTTTAGTGTGTTATGTTTAATTTGCAATGAGACGTCTTCAACACGATGAACGTCTACGTGCTATTGGCATGCTTCAAATGGGTTCTACACAGCGAGCAGCAGACAACATGCTTAATCTGTGTTCAGCAGACTGTGGAACCGGTACCAACAAACACACAATGCTGATGATTGACCTCGTTTAGGTCATCATAGAGCCCCTACACAAGCCCAGGATCAAAACATTCGTACACGGGTCCTGCGAAATCGAGGACAAACGGCCAATCAGCTTTCTGTAAACTTTTATCAAGTTACGGGAATTCGAGTTACAGCCCAAATGATTAGAAATCAGCTACATGCAGCCCATTTGCATGCGCGACGACCGCGTGTTGTGCCTCCATTAACTCGCCAGCACATGGCAAACAAGCGTCAATGGTGTAGGCAGCTTGAAATTGGGGTAATCGTCGATGGGGCTGTGTAATGTTCACAGATGAGTACAGATTTACTCTGCATTTCACCGATAGGCGTGCTCGCGCTTGGAGGCATGTAAATGAGCGTCATGCTAACGTTAACGTCAGACAGCATTGACCGATTCGGGCGTGGGTCTGTTATGGTTTGGGGAGGAATCACCATGACTGGCAGAACGGACTTGCGTATTGGTCGTGCACCAACATCAATAGTTGCTATCCTTAGGGTATAAGGAATAAGTATACCAAGTTCCAAGATAATCCATTCAGAATAGTGGCCTTCGTGGCGCTAAAGGCAAAAATTGGGTGTGGCTCTGCCCCCGGGGGTCGGGGCATTCACCAAAATAAATAGTTGACGCACTTAGGCTATAAGGAATACATATGCCAAGTACCAAGTTGATCTATTCAGAATTGGGGCCTGTAAACGATAAAAAACCCAAAAATTTGGCGTGGTTCTGGCCCTGGGGGTCGGGATATGCAGTTGTCGTCCTTAGGCTATAAGGAATACATATCCCAAGTTCAAAGATGATCCATTTATAATCGTGGCCTGTAGGCCACATACACAGACACAAAGAAAAAAATGGGTGTGGCTCTGCCCCTGGGGATTAAGCAATCACCAAAGAACAATAGGTGTCATCCTTAGGGTATAAGGAATAGGTATGCAAAGTTTCAAATGGATCTGTTAAAAATTGCGGCCTGTAGGCGAAACACAAACATTGGACGTGGCTCTGTCCCAGGGGGTCGGGCATGCACCAAAAATAATACAGGTCAGCCTTAGGGTACAAGGAATAAGTATAAAAAAGTTTTCAAGAGGATGAAGAATTGCGGGCTGTAAGTGAAACACACACAAGGAAAAAGAAAATGGGCAAGGCTCTGCCCCTGGGCGTTGGCCATTCACCACAAACAATAGGGATGTTCCTTATGATAGAAGGAATGAGTATGCAAAGTTTCAAGGTGATAGGTATGCAGTCTGTAGATGACAAACAAATAAATACAAGAAATGGGCGTGGCTCTGCCACTGGGGGTTGGAAATGCACCAAAAACAATAGGGATCACCCATAGGGTATAGGGAATTAATATGAAAATTTTTCAAGACGATCAATATTGGGCTTTACTCTATCCTAGGGGGTCGGGCATGCACCAAAAATAATATTGATCAGCCTTAGGGTATAAGGAATAAGTACAAAAAAGTTTTCAAGAAGATCGATTAAGAATTGCGGCCTGTAGGCGACACACAGAAGCACAAAAAGAAAATGGGAGGGACTCTGCCCCTGGGGGTTGGGCATGCACCCCAAAGATAGGGGTGTTCCTTAGGGTACAGATAATAAGTATGCAAAGTTTCAAGATGATACGTTAAGAAATGCGGCCTGAAGACGACAAACAAACAATATGAATGTTTCAAGATGATCACTTAAGAATTGTGGCCTGTAGGCGACACACAGATGGGGCGACGGCAATATACGTCCACATTATGAATGTGGACATATAAAAAGTGGACAAAATGTCCTAGTCCGAAATGTCCACTGGCCGAACCCTATCATGTTTTCAAAACCGTAAAAGGGATACTGGTAACAAAAATTCTGATTAATTGTATGATACTATAAATGTACCAAACAAGTCAAAACCAATAATGTGCTAGCAACAATATTGTTTTGTATGCTCTAACCAAAATAATACAAATCAAAATAAGGCTGAAATATTTTAATCAAAAAGAAATTATAGTATATATTTTAATATTACCACTGGGAAATTTTTAAAAAAATAATCTTAAACAATATATTAATGAATAAATAAAGTAAACAAATATTATCACAATTATTTCAAGTCAAGCCCCAGTGTATTTCTCTAGAGTCCAAATTTAAAAAGAAAGAAAATGAGGGAGATTTTTTAACAAAAGTTCCTTGTCAATACAATTGGGAATCAATCATATTAAGAATATAACATTTTGAATGATATGAATGTTTGTTATGGGAGTATTAACATAAAGATTGTTCTTACCATGAAGTCATCTGAGAAACAACATTTAAATACATGTACATGCATACTACTAGTTACTACTATGAAAAATTGGTTGCCAGTTAACACAACACATGCCAAATGCAGCCTAGTCATCATAGCCGTCCACAAGGCTTGTCAAGTTGTCATATATTTATTCTTATGTAGGTAATTGGAGCATTTACAAGACACTAAAAACTGATGAGAGTAACAACCCATTGGCTTTTAGTTCTTCCCAGTGCTAACATTTATTATACAAAAAACATGTACTGGTAATCAGATGATATCTCCAGTCGTTCGAATTATGGGAAATCGTTGAAAATTAACAGACTTTTGCATGAACATAAGCACTGTATAAATGTGAATTTAATCAGATGTCTTAAGAACATAAACCCAGTGTGTAAATATCAAGTCCATGACTTTAGCCCCTCAAGTAATCAATAAGCTTCTTGGTCTCCTGAACATAAACACTGTTTAAATTTAAAGTCAATCAGACGATAACATTAACCTCTAGATCATTGTCCACAAGCAATAATGGAAGCTTGACTGACTGGGTACAGACCATGTGAAAATGTACAACCACATTTCAATGTTGGCAATTAAAGAAATAGTGTAATATTCAAATAGATATATAAAATTAATTTAAAACTATACATCACTGAAACATTTTCAAGGATAGCAATATGTCATTTTAACATCAAAGCTTATCAATCCATCAGTCAAACACCATCGTTTAATATTTAGGTATTTGAAATCATACGTGAACTGCTCTGGTGAAAAAACAAGATATTTGAAAATCATTGAGAATTTTTCAGTGGCCCCTGACAAAACAACAACAACCCGAAATTAGAGTCAAGTTCTACTCAAAACAGACAAGCACTACTATTATTTTTAACCTAAGATTAAATAGAATATCAAAGAAATAAACATTATTTTACAAAATAATATCAAAAATAAAACATCCCCATGGAATAATGCATTAGCTGATTTCTTATGTCCTGAGTATTAAGTAGGTTAGCTTAAAAAGTACATAATATCAATTACAGGTAAGTATATTTTAAAAGATTTTGTTTTTCCAACAATTAATGAGAAATATTTTTGTGTTCCTCAGTGGAAGTTAAAGTTGCTGCATCCACGAATTGGAATAATCTAACTTCAAACCTCAAAAGAAGTCCAACACTCCATCAATTCAGATCTTACTTGAAAACTTTAAATTTTATTATGAGACACTTGTGTTCAATGCACCATGAGCACATTTCATGGATTTAACATTTGATAAAATGGTAAAATGGATGCATTATTATTATTATTTAAGTCGAACACTGAGTTTAAATTAGGTTGTCGAGTCAACAGTGGGTCTTATTTACAGAATAACACAAGGATTTTTAGAGGTTGTTATTTCCTTGGGTTCAAGATTTTCTTGTGCTTGATTAATAGCTTCAAACACCTGAAATACAGAAAAAAAATTCACTCATAAGACATATATATACTAAGCAGGTTGGTATGTTACTCTGAATAGATGCATTGCATAAAACTTGCCAAATGTTTTTATTGTATATTTGTGACCACATCTCCAACTTTACCTGAGCAATAAGGCTCCTTCCCAAACACAGAAAATGTTCTCAAAAACGCAATCTGACTTCTGAGATGGTAATGTGTTCTTCATGATTTTCATGTAACTCATGCTGCATGTGCTGTTCACCAGGACCAGCCCTATAAACTGCACCCCCATATACCTGGTTGAATCATTCACAAAACAACGTAGGCAGCATGCCAGGACTCACGACAGCTCAGAGGAGCCAGGCGCTTGGAAGACTTGACGCTGGCCACACTGCCCAAGCCGTTGCCAACCACTTCCAGGTCAATGTTCGGACCATCTACAGGCTTCAGCAACACTTTCGGGTCACCAACACCACGGATGATCGCCCCCGAACTGGCAGACCAAGGGTTACCACAAGGCGAAAAGACCGCCATGTTGTGCGACAGCACGTGCAGAATCCCTTCACACAGGCATCTGAGACAGCACGTCAGACAGTGGGAACACCCGTAAGACCCATCAGTACTGATACAGTGAGCCGACGTCTCACGAAAACATCCACTGCCATGGACCCATCCTCACCCCTCGCCATCGACGTAAACATCTACAGTTTGCCCAACAACACCAGAACTGTTCTGTTCACAGACGAGAGTCGGTATTGCGTATCAATTGCAGATGGCAGGAACAGAATATGGTGTCGACATGGCCAGCATTATTCTGACCAATGTGTCATGGAACGAGACTCATGGGAGGTCCAAGCATAATGGTTTGGGGTGGAATCAGAGTGTGGTGTTCCAAAATCTTGGTCCAGGGAGAGGAGGCAGCATCACAGCAGTGTGCTACATTGATCAAGCTCTGAGACCCCACATCATACCACATTTTGCACGTCATCGAAACAACGTTTTCCAGCATGACAACGCCTGTGCCCACACCATCAGAGTTACTCGGGATTTTCTACAGCAGAACGGTGTCAACGTTATGCACTGGCTAGCCCTCAGTCCGGACTTAAACCCAATTGAACATCTTTGGGATCAAATTCAGAGGAGACTTATTAAAGTCGTACTGAGACCAAACATAGAATGATGTGATTAAAGTGCCTCTCAGATTTTGAAATCGTACTGACGGTTTTTTTGCTGTTTAAAGTTTAGTATATATATTACATTAACATAAGAATATTGAAGTTACACACAAGGCAGAACAGCACAAAAACATTTTCTTTCTTTAATGGGGTGTTCTCAGAAACTGCATGTCATTTTTTTAAAATTAAAACTAGCTCAGAAGAAACAAGGTTATTGTATTTTAAAATTTCGATGACATAGGATTATAGCACACTTATTAACTATGTATGGATGACATTTATATTTGAACTTCAGTTATTGTGTTCTCAATTCTCAACAAATTAAATTATCACTCTGCTAAACCTGAGCAGAATATGCTCATTATTGAACTTAGTATTGATATAATGAAACTATACACCAAGTTTCACCAATCTCACTCAATTAGAATCAAAATCAAAGTTATCATGTCTGACAGTATCAACAAAAATCAAGGCATTCACCTAATGAAATGGGGTTAACCTACTTTTCTGCTCCATCAGGGCTAAAGAAAACATGCTGTGTGCTATGGGGTCAATTTTACCCAGACAGCAGCATTACGGCCTACTCTTATTTCAAATTCCAACTATCAAGGGTTCTTTTACATGAATGCTAATGAATGGACGACAATCTGACGACCAATTGAACCTACTTTAATAGTTCCCTGATTTCTGAAAAAATCCAGATCATTACACTTGAAAATATCGGTCAATAGACTGTGTTTAAGAGGTTATATCTAACTTACTCATCAACATAGAAAGTCAAGATTTGTATCACCAGAGAAGGCCTTTAAGTTTGGCACAGAATTACCCATATTAATGTTACTAAGTCAGTATTTTTCATACATGTATATTAACATTCTTATTATGACAAAGATACACAAGTTAGTATGTTAAGATTTATAAATGAACCAAAACATACATCTTCATCTTCTGGAAATCCTCCAAGTTTCAATTTGGAAAACACAACCTTGTTATTCATTGTGATCTCAAAGCTACCTGCAAGTACACAATTTGAACAATATAAATTGGGATTCACAGATAAATATGTTTTTGTGGTATATCTATATTGTTATATTATCGCATGGGTCCACTGGCCAGTTTCTGAGGGGCCCCTGTAATTATCAATTAATGTGAAATTGCGGCCTCCTTGTATGCAAAATGAATGTTGAATATGAGAAATCTGGCATTTACTTGATCTTTGGACTGTATCTCCATTTTCACAATAAACTATATCATCAATATCGAAAGGAACTAAGATCTTTGGGATATAATCATATATTTCAAGTTTCATCAAAACTGGATAAAAATTGTGACCTCCAGAGGGTCCACAACCTTGGTATTACATACTTTTACACTAATTGCATACAGGGAGCGACCATTTTGTCGGACAGTTTTCATCAAAATCGGATAAAAATTGTGACATATAGAGTGTTAACAAACAAAATGTGAACACAGGGGCGATGACAATATATGTCCACTTGTGGACGTATAAAAAAAGATAGTACTGTGACAATGTTTATATTAAATCAATATAACTTACTACGACGTCCCACTCTTCCCGAAATTTGAACCTCGGATGCTGGAAACTTTGACAATATTTGTTGTCTAAGTTCTCGGTACCGAGGTTCAAAGCCTCAGGAACCACTACAACAAAGAAGAAAAAAGTATTTATTCATTATAAAATATTACAAAAGTTTTTCATTCGAATTTTAGTTCATTATCACCAAACAAGGTATGTAGACATGTAGTCATACACTTTTAGCCAACAAAACTCTGTATTATTACAGCCAATTTTTCTGATGTAGGCCTATTGTTACTGATTAATAATATTGCTTAATTAAAATAAAACAAAGATAAACATTATAGCAGTAATAAGACCATAATACACTATAAAATATTTTAGTTGGAGATAGCATTAACCATCAAATTCAGGTATTTGTGCAGTTGTTGTTGTTTGTATTTCAGAGGAGAGCATGTAATGGGGTCATTCCTGGTTTCATAAATGATAATAAACCCCCAATGACTATGTAAAGGAGAGCGATTTTCAGTTTTAAGGGGAGGGAAAAAAACGCCCCTCGGTTGACATTCAGGTGAGCGGCAGATGCTCGAGAGCGATCGCTCGCCTTAAAAAACAATGACTGATTTGTGGTTGTCTCTAACAATGTTGGATATAAATAAACAAACCCAAGTCTTAACTAAATAATCAGGACATGAATTAAAACATGTAAAAACAATAATTCAAAAAAATTAAATACACCAAATAGGTATGAAATAAAACATGTCTAATATTATTAATTTCAGACATTTATTAAAGATACATTATGGGAGATTTTAATAGAGAGTTGGCCATTCTTGCTATAACAGTTCAAAAATAGATGACGAAAGAAGAATATATTGAAAATTGCAGTCAAATTACTTTATTCTGAACAAAGTTATCACCATTGTAATTTTTGACTAGAAATAGGAGTCAACTCTCTCTTCACCGTCTCCGAGAACAGCCGATCGTTTGATTGACAGGCGTTAACTCCACCTACATAATCTCAATTATCTAGTAACGTTTTCAATGGCTGTGGTACCGTTAGCCTATTCAGTTTGAGACGGGGTTGCAATTCAATTTGTATCACATTTATTTTTAGTACAAATTAAAAATAAGACTTTTAATATATAGATAAGAAGCGAAAATTTGAAAGGAATGAACCAAATCAATGAGGCATAATTATAGCAGACTTCTTTTTAGCCTGTGTGTACTCTTGTACTGTAACTGGTAGGCCTACGCAACTCCCGAAGCAGACAAATACTGAAATAGGAAACAGTGATCCAATGGGGCTGCAATTCAACTGGGGTGATGTTAGCTGCGATGTTTATCAATTTCCATAATTTTTCTGTAAATGCAAGTGACAAAAGAGCGTATAATACCGACATCCAAACTCTCATTTTAACCACAACTAAACATAATATCAGCGGCCTCGCTTCATACACTATCATTTAGCTTCGATCTAAAATTTCCGGGAGTATGACGTCAACGTAATGGTTAATCTCCGCTTACGCCGCAATTTAAAAATTTAATCAATGAATGAAATCCTGTTTAAATCCAAGCCGAATCCAAGCCATCCGTGGGTCTACAGAGTTGATTTTGTGCTTGTTGTGTAAATAAAGATCTAATCTATAATTTCTATGACATCTGAAGCCTAAATAAAGACTTGCAATAATCAGATTTAGCTCTTGCATAATGTATTTTTAACTTACCAAGAGCATAATCAACTCTCGATGTTATCGAGATTTTCAACAGATTTAAATACAATTGACAGTTAATGATTTAATTTAAAAATTGATAATCAAGACTTTATGATCTTAACAACGGTAGAAATGACAATCGAGACTACAATGTGCTTGTAACAGCGCTAACTCAGCTCAGAATGAAGTAATTTGACTGAAATTTTCAACATATTCCGTTTTTCATTAGATCTATTTTTCAATTATTATTCTTTATTGCGAAAACTGTCAATTCTTAAATCTAAATCTTACCATAATGCCGCTTTAACTTTAAGTAACTTATTTATATGTCCTGAACATTCAGCAAAAATGATCTCCACATGGAATTTCAAAGAGAACTGGACAATTGAAATGTAGAACCATTATAGCCTAGAAGAGTCCTTAGTAGGCCTAGAGGCTAAGCTAATACTAATAATAGCTATCTTTTGAGTGACTAGGCACTTTCCTTGACTGTTGTTGACAGACTCATACTCATAAATAATTAGGCTATATCACATTGTAATATAATAAATAATATTATTGCCATTGGCCCAATTGGCTCCGCTGTTTTAACATTTTTGGCTATATCTTTAGTTTTTCTACTTTTAACTTACCAATATTCTACTTGAATTACTACGGGTGCCATTGTCTCAGCGATTTCTTGATATTCAGAGTAAGATAATTTCACAAACTGTGTGTAGGCCCTGCTGAGTGAAGTGGACGAAGTGAACAGGGTGAACACTCTTTCGTAGTCATGAAAATCTGACAGGCGGCATCATGGCCACCAGTGCAGAATGATTGACAGCTGTCAGCCTTCACCTGGGAAATATCAAGGGAAACACTTTGAACAACTGGAGACCACGTTGACTACACAATGTTAAAACCAATCTGTTTAACAGAGAATTACGAGTCTTCTAATATCTCTGTAAAGAGAGAGAGAGAGAGAGAGAGAGAGAGAGAGAGAGATGGGGTTTAAAGTCCACTCGACACAAACTAGGTCATTTCGGGATTAACATATGGTTTAATTTTATTTCAATAATTCGCTTGCGCGTAGAGGTCTTTAGCAGTGGGAGGAAACCGGAGGACCCGGAGAAAACCCACGAGGTTGGACAGGCGACCCTACTCCTTGTCACGTACAACCGGGATTCCATCTCTGTAAAACATGACTGCCTTTAACACGTGCCGTCACAGCACGCGGCGTCAATGGCGCGTGCATTGTTTACATAAGGCGTTACTGCTTCATCGGGCAGAATGCATCTACGGTATCCCCGCGGTATACTCATTCCGTTCTACTCCACTATACCCTGGATTAATCCATAGGGTTTCCACGATTTCAAATTATCTACTCTGGCCTTGATTGTAGATGGTCTACGAACCAATCAAAAAACAGTTTACAAACCTGTCGTTTCGCCTTCGTCATTCATGTCCATTTACTGAATGGTTTATATAAATAATGTATATATTTCTAATTCATTTATATTTAATTGTATTATCAAAATCTGTAGTATGTTTCGCTGATTTCACTGCTGATCAGTGTGCCATCAAGGACGGTTAACTTGAAAACGTGTCTCCCCCATACGCATGTCGATAAGGCCAGCAATAATATTGCCTTTATCTGTAAAAAAAATACTATATTAGAAATATTCTTACTGAAGTTGGACTTTGGCCCAATACCCATAATGACACTTATAAATGCATTACGGATTTAACTAAACTAGATATTTTACATAACCAATAAACATTTAACAGGAGTAATGATATTAAAGACAATGTGAAAATAGATGCACTACCTTACATTTATTCTATACCTAAATTCCATAAAACCCCAGTAAAATTCAGATATATAATATCCTCCAGTATCTGCCAAACGAAACCATTAGCTAAGACTATCACCAAAGGGTTTAAATTATGCCAAAACCAACATGCCATTTGGTGCAGAACACTTCGTAGCTATACTGGAATTAATAGGTTTTTTTATAATTGATAAAAGTAAACCTATAGTAGACACTTTAGAAAAAATCAATAAAAAAATTAATGCAAACACAATAGAAACGTTCGATTTTTCTACTTTGTATACTATGCTTCAACATGCAGATCTTAAAGATAATTTAGATTGGTTTGTAGATAAAGCCTTTAATGGAGCTTTCGGGAAAGGCAGAAACTTGATGGCCATTTATGCAGAAGATGCTAAATGGATTATAAAACGTCGCAATGCCGACACTGTAGTTTTTGATAAAGACAAATTTCAAAATATCATACATTTCCTCATTGACAATGCCATATTTGAGGTTGGGGATCAGATAATGCAACAAACCATAGGTTTGCCAATGGGAACTGCCCCCGCCCCATTTATGGCAAATGCACATTTATATAAATACGAATTCTACTGTCAAGACCATAAAAGAAAAACAGATTACAAAGTAGCTAAAAGTCTAAACTATACCTTCTGTGTTTATTACTACAGTAGCTTTCCCCTTATCTGCTGGCACGATTGTTATCTTTGGATCATTGCGTAGTTCCTTTAGTGCCTTCTTCTGCTTCTGGGTGATGTTACTTGGTTGCGGTTTGGCTTTAAGAAGTAGGTCGGTTACTATTGATGTCTGAGGTATTCCACTTTCCCACCTGGTGCTAATTGTCGTAGTCCCTTTTCAATATTGGCTATAAAGGTATCTGTATGAGGTTTTTGGTTAGTTGGTACAAAGTTGAGTCCCTTGGAGAGTAGATTGATTTCATCTTCTGTTAAATTTCGGTCGCTATTGTTGACAACTGTTTTAGTTAGGTAATCGTTAGTGGTATTGCTTTTGGAGTTTTGTATCGCTTTCTCTTTGGTTTGTTTCAACTTGTCAAATTTTTGGGTATGTTTTAGTTTAACTTGTTTGTTCAAACTAACCTGCGCTTTTTTCTGTATTTCATTGAATTTCTGAAGGTCAACGTTCGTAATGATATTTTGGAGCTCTGCTTGAAGTTGGTTGATGCTAATGGAGAGTTTCTGCTTTTCGTTTCTGTAGTGCTGAAGCCTTTCTCTTAGTAAACATTTGCTGGCATATCTAATAATCTTTTTAGCGGCATTTGAGTTGACTGGAGATTTAACAATTAAGCCTTTGGGAATTAAGTCACTATTTCTACATCTCATTAAGAAGGTCACACTCAGGGCGTACATAACGCTTTTGTTTGGGGGGGGGGGTGTTTAGCCAAAATGCGACCGACTGATGCACATACCCCAGTACGAGTGACACAGTCAGGAGCCGCGCACCACAGGCGCGAGTTTTCTAGGGGACATGTGCAGAGAAGATCTAGAAGCTGGGAATAGGGGTGGGGTGGGGGTGGTTCCAAATCTAGGGTGCCATCCACAATCCCACCCCACAATGAATGTCAACAAAATACTGGCTATAACATTAAGCGTCCCAATAGAACATACTTGTTCGCCGATAGTTGTCTCGCCGGAAAGCAGTTTTATTTAAGTTGACATAAAGTTTATGTCATACATGATAATTGTGCCTATAACACTGAGCAACCTGAGAAAATTTTGAAAAATTGAGTCAATATCCTAGCACTTGAGGTCATTGCTGGGGGAAAGACTTGTGGACGAGAGGACCAGAAATGTGAGCCAATGGGACAGAATCTCGAGATCTCCCCCTGTCAATTCCGCCTGTTTTGCAAGAGTTGACATAACAATTGTATAGTCTGACCCCCCTTGACCCACACACCAGTATAACTGGGTAGTTCACTATAACCGTGAATATGATAGTGCCGAGACAGTATAAGAAAACAGAAGAATAGAAGAATGTTGCTACAACGGAATCGAGCGCCGCAGGGGCGAAAAATTTTCAGATATGTAACCGGGCTTTTAATTTTTCGGGACTGGGCCTGAAAATTTTAGTCATTGTCATGGCAAATGTGTGACGTTTGCAATTTAGGCTCAAAGATTCACGCAAATACATAGTATTTGGGATCTATTCTGGCATTGTTTGTTTACCTCATTAATTCATTGAGTCGCCGATGCATAATTTTGAGACCGACTGCAGTGACTGCACTTATTTTGAGACCGACTATTTTTCTCCCTGGGTGAAATTTTGTTCATAGACCAACATACTCACAACAGAATAAGAGTGAAACACGACATTTTTTCAAACATGATAAGTTGACATGGTTATTATATACTATTATATACGTATGCAGTGAGCACTTATTTTGATACCAACTGCTCTTATTTTGCGACCGACTGCACTGATTTTGCGACCGACTATTTTTCTTCCTGGGAGAAATTTGTTCATAGGCCAACATACTCACAACAGAATAACAGTGAAACACAGCATTTGACAAGGTTATTTTATACTAAAGTTTTGCGTGAGTAGCGTGACGTATGCAGTGTGCACTTATTTTGATACCGACTGCTCTTATTTTGCGACCGACTGCACTGATTTTGCGACCGACTATTTTTCTTCCGGGGGGGGGGGGGCACATCTCCATATTGATGTCTAATATATTCTTTGAATGGCATTTAGTAATTGGAACATAATCAACCCAATTACAATATCTTACCCTTCATATTTATAATTATTAAAGGTTTCATCATAGGGCATTCGGCTTAATTTATCGTTATTTATTTATATTTTACTCAACACTTTGATATATATTTACCTTGTAAATACATATATGCAACTTATTACTTAACTATAAAACACAACCATAAAATTCTATATTTCTTAACTGTTATAATCAATGAAAAGATTATGGTTTCGATATAATTCTATAAACCCCCAGTTTGATCTTCTTGAATGTTTATTTAGTCAATCTTAGTATATACTGGTTTCAGTTATGGTACAATGTGTATGGTTTCAATATTTGTTAATCTCGGTTAATCCCCTGTTTCATCTTTTAATTGTACAATAAGCCAATTCTAATATATATGATTATGCACCTTTGTTACATCAATAGCTTGTTATAGCTAATCATGCTCACTCACCTTGCATTCCATTGGATAGTTCGCACTGATGTTTGTATATATATATTCATATCTTTCTCATTTTTTATCTATTTGTGTATATGCTTGATGACGACTTGTGAAACCTTGTTGAAACGTCGCAGTGAAATAAACCATAGTAATTGTTATCCATAAAAGTGTGTTTTTGATTGGATAATGATCCAATTTAAATTTTATTTTAGATTTTCTGTAGTTACCTAACCCTGTCTGAATTACCTCCCTTAATATTATGCCTTTATAAATACATAGTACGATTTCTTCAACATACCTGTTTTGCATTTCCTTTGTGGGGTATTATTTATTAATATATTATAAATTGTACAATTACATAACTTAATAATTCCGATTAGTCGCTAAAACTTATGGTTTTTAAGCTTTTAACGTTATTTTTTCTGGATTATCGCCCTTATTATTGTGATTTTTTATCACCTTTTAAGATATGACGTCATTCCCAAAATAACGTCGCACTCGCAACTCAGTCAGCAGACGGCTGTCCCTCGAGACAGTCTACATTTCCTATTTGCTTCTTTGTATTCAGTTTTGTTTTTGTGACGGATGGAACATGCACCCTAGGCTATATGTATTGAATACTGAAGCGTTTCTTGATTGAATTTAGAGTTTAGACTACTTTTTTAATACATTGTTACTTGTATAGTTGAATTTTACTACATATATAGTACATATGCTTACATTCGTATTTCGTGTAGCATATAGCAGATCATGACTCATGCTGGCATTGCACAATGGGTTCTTTGGGTTGTATTCCTAATTGTTTTCAAATTTGAGTGAAGTCTGTGTCACTACATATCCGGGACTGTACAGCGTAGTGGACGTTTACGGCTAGCCCTCGGATCCATTCACTTTTTTTGAATTGTCTGTATGTTTGTGTATGATGTCCTGTCCGTGTATTTGTTTTTGTGTAAATTTTGTGTGGTGCAGTCCCCCTGCACTTACTAATAGATTAACCCAGGGGTTAGTGGAGTAGAACGGGTGAAACCACTGGGGATACCGGGGATGGGAATAGCAGGAACACGGACACAGTGATCCGCAGTGAATATTCGCTAGGCCGCGACAATCACTGATAAGGATGACATCGATGTGACATAATGAGTCACAAATATTAACTTTTTTCCCCCGACAAATTAAATTCTAAAACATTTTTTTGATGTATTAGAAATATAAATAAAGACGTTTGACGTATTTGTAGGTAAAAATTATTTCCTATTTAGTGTAAATGGGTATTAAAATGACTAAAAGGCAGCATTCTGCCCATCCTCGGTATCCCCAGGGGTTTCATTCCGATCTACTCCACTAACCCCTGGGTTAATCTATGGGGGAGACACGTTTTCAAGTTATCCGCCCCTGATAATTGTGCTATTTTTATCGGTCAATCGCATAAATCATTAATTGAAAAGGAAGTTGGCAAAGGG